ATGGAGCACTGGGATTTGGACGCCCAGCTGGCAGCGGACTATGTCCGCTTCCGCCCCACGGCGCGCGCCTGCCTGCCGCAGCCCTTCTTTCGCGCAAAGAAGCGGAAGAAGACGGAGGCGGCGGCTTCAGTCACCCCAAAGCGTCCATTTCCAAACCGCCCTAAGCTGAAATTGGGACGCCACGTTCCTTCGGTTCGACGCGTGGGTTTCCTTGCGGCCGGCGAGGCGGCTTCCAACCGCGACTCCGGGGGCGAGCTGCCGGCGGAGCAGGCGAAGCTGCGGGAGCTGTGCGTCGGCGAGCTGCCACTCAGCTGCGGACAAAGGGAGCAGGGCCTGGTGTTGTTTTTTTGGAATCACGCCTCTTCCTGGACTTGATGCTTGGTAACAAACAGAGACATGTTCAGCTCCAGGAGTGAGTCTAGCTAGAAAGCTTGACTTTTCGTATTGTGGAAATTGGGGTGCTAAGCGAATCCCCGTGATAAGCACGAGCCATGGAATCAACCAGGGGTCCCGTTTTCCCACCTCACGGACCAATACCGGCAACAGGCGTGGGAAACCCTCATTCAGTGAAGGATCTTTGTTTTGCTTGTACGTCGTTGCCTTGCCTTTGCTGCAGTACACAAGGTCCCAGCGAGCAGTCCAACGCTCCAGCCGAGCAGACTTGGTAGTCGACCTGGGTGTTCATTACTTGCCAGCCTTAGTCACAGAGTGTTCCCAAAAAGGCGCATGCTCCACTCAAAGGTAAGTCCTAACAAGTTGACCCGCGGATTTAGATGGCAACTCATGAGGCATGGTGTGTGACATGGTGGACTGTGTCTCCCGCACGAACAAACGACGCTGCCAGAGTATCGGTTTTGGGAGACCCCCCCCAATGGTTTTCTTGTTTTGTGAGTGTCGGGTTTCACACCACACAGACGTGAAACTCCCCAAGACCGCGAGGGGAGCCAAGACCCACCTGTTCAGGACCACCGTTTCAGGTGCAATGTCCTGAGATCGAATCCATGGACCCCCTGGGCGGATGTTAGTGTTCCAGCGTGTTCCAGCGAACTCCCACTATGTGCAGTGAGTCAATGGTATTCTAAGATGTCGACTGATCGAATGTCAACTCATTTCCACTCATGCTCTGGAACCATTGTTGACTTACTGTCCACGAATTCGGGTGTGCTTTTTTGGCAGCTACTCTTTTGCAGTTTAAAAGGGAAACCAACAAGGAAAACCTCTCATTTGTGTGTGTGTGTATGTTTTTGTTTTGGGCGGGGGGGGGGGGGGGGGGGGGGCAAGATTCAGCTTGACAAAGGGAGCCGACTTTCAGATTCCGGAGAGGGTTTCCTCGGGATCCCAACTGGGGTAGACTTAGGATACATTTTACATTTTACCAGTGGCTCAAAGTGAAGCAAGCAATAAAATATACATTCTACAACTGGGCCTAACTCTAATCATGCCAAGGGTTGGGGAATGGTAAGTGAGAGTGTTCCCAGAAAGAATCCATTCCACAAGTCTTCAACCCGCCAAGACCGACCTCAAGCTCTTCAAAACAGGACACCACAAATGAGTTTGTCTTTTTTTCGAGGGTACCTGTTGTTTGTTGGTTTCAAAAGGGACACCAAATAGAGACCGAAGCCATTTTTGGGGGGGTTCCCCTGTTTTAAGAGACAGTTCACCCCCCCAATTCATCCCCCATATCCCCACCCGGGCCACGCGGCGCTCTCTCAGGCAACGTCACGTGACCTGCGCGGAGAGCTGCGTTCAGCCTCTTGGAAGCTTCTAGGGACTCCCGGCGATTGGTTCAACTTAACTGCTTAGTTGTTTTTCGGTGGGTTTCGAGGTAATTTCCGAATTTAAGCCACTAAAAGTTGAACTTTTTGCCAGGGAATCTGAGGGCAGCCCAGGGAAATGAATAATTACTTGGAATCAACTGAGGGCTGGTTGCACATTGGGATGAACTTGTGAACCAACCCGAGTTGGCCTTTGAAAGGGAAGGTTGTTCAATGCTGAAACCTGTTTACTTGTTGTTTGGCTTGTTTGTGGGTTTATTGGTTGGGTTATATAGTCCACGAGTTGAATGTTTAGCAGGGGATCAGCCCTTTACCGAATGGTTTTAGAGGAACACCAAGACGAAAGCCGAAGCCATTTTGGAGGTCCACAACAAAAGAGACACCCAACTTAGTGGTGTTCGTTTTGTTTCCCGTAAACAGCACCAAAAAGGGTACCCTCAACAAAGACACACCCATAATTTGGCCCATAATTGTTTAATGTTCCCTGTTGGTTTTCACGGAGGTCTTTTGCAACCGGAAACAATCTTCATATCTTCATAAAGAGTGTGTCCAGACAATCCAGACCCCGGATTTGTCCATGCAGACCCTGGCCAAAGTGGCCTGGATCACAGCAAAAAAGGGGACCCCCCGATCAACGTCAACTAGGGGTTTAACATGGTTTAACTTCATCAAGGGTTCCCAGTATGTCTGAAAGTATGGACACCCCACGGCTGATTGGTGGTAACCACTCATCTCCTGAGTAATTGTATCCCTGGATTAATGGATCGCCCCTGGATTATTTTTGGGCGATGTCCCCCTTTTCGGAATCTGAATATCACTTTGGCGAGTGACAGCTTCTTCGGGCCTTCCCATGTGTCAAAGTAGGATCTGGCTTTGTGGTGTCACAGTCGAAACCAAATTTCGCTTTCAGGGGTTCCCTCTGAATGACCAACTTGTCGCACCTTAAGACCTACGAGCATTGGTCAGAATTTCCTGATTCGTCGCTTGCGCACATGTGGGGACATGGGGACTTGGACGAATTTCCCTTTGTTCCTCTGGGAGCCAAGTTGACGGCTCAGAACAGGCCCAAACCACTCATTGACCATGTCTGTCAGAGGTTCGACCTGGTTCATTAAGAATTGTTGTGCGGCCTTCTTCGCCCTTCCGCCAGAACCAAACCTGGGCCAAGTCTTCCCCCAAAAGGCGAGCCTGCGCCAGAGAGAATCGGCCGGCTTTTGCGCGCGAGCGCGAGCGAAGGCGGGCCGAGCTCTCCGCCCCCGGGCCTGCAGTGGGCAGGCCGGGAGAAGCGAAGCTCACTCCCTGCGCTCGTGGACTTTAGTCACTCTTTGGGGTTGGACCATTTTAGTTGCAAAAAAATAGTTTGGACTTGTCTTGAACCATCAACTCGGGAAGTGAGGTTCTAGTGAGGACGGCGTGATGTTCTTACCAGAAGCCCTTGGTGAAGGACACCCCGAACAAGAGCCGATGGCTTTAGATTTTGGAGGCCGGCACGGGGGCGTCGCATCTTTACCCCTTTCCATTGGGGATGGGGTCGCAAGTGGCAGGTCCGAGGAGGAGACCATCCGAGAGGGCGTGGTGCTGCCTGCCGGCTGCTGCTGGGTGCAGGCGAAACGAATCACACGCCGCGATTCGGGGTGTCGCTGCACGGTTGCCCCAACGATAGACCCAGTTGTGTGGAACCCTTTTGCCGTTGTTTTGAGCCCCTGCTAAAATTGTGAATCTTGAAAGGGGTTCCTGGGTCCCATATACTGAGAGGGTTAATCTTGAAAGGGGATGCTGGCCCCCAATATAAGAATGGTCAATCAAATCAGTGACGCAAACGATTCACACACCCGCCATCTTCCGGAAGCAGAGGTTAGCCTAAAGCGTAGAGTTTGCCAAATCTTGAGATCATGATCAACCGGTCGCCCGCGGAACTACGCCTGGAAGCCAAGGGTGATCCAGGATGATGCGAACACATCAGTCGCTTCAGATCTCTCTCCGACCATTCACGACCAACATGGCCCGCGGGGACGTAACCTGGAAAGCGGCACATGCTACGTCTTTGCTGCAGCGACTGCAATTCGACGCGCCCAGATGTGCTTTTTCGGGCGAGCAGTGGAAAGCCATCAAAGCCTCATCACAGAGATCACCCGGCGATTTGGTTTTGATGGAGCACGCTTGCCAGATGTCCTGGCCCACTTTTTTCCCACAAAAGAATTTGTTCCATCGAACAATTTGTCAAGAAACTGCAGAAGCTCTCTTGGAATCATCAGAGAGGGTTGTGCTTGCTACATTCGACTTGACTGACAGTATGTGGGAGGCATTTTCCAGATTCTTCTCGTCGGAGCCTTCCAGCGTGCTACAAGTCTCCAACTTGCGTGATACTGGTGGTGCAGGCAGGCGCGAAGGACATGCTGTTGTGATAACAGGTAAGACGCAGGATGCGCGGTTGGTGAAAAGCTCCTGGGCCGAAAGGTTCGGTGATGATGGCTTCCGAGTAGCAAGGGATGCTCTCAATTTCACATACGGGTGTGGCTCAAAATTAAACAGGAGGGGTTACGCAGGTTTTGGTCCATGTTTCCACTTCCCAGGGTTCCATTTGGGTACGGGTTTTTTGAGCCACAGCCATACCAGGATGTATGCTTCAGAAACTGCGATTTGAGACGGTCGGAGATCACAGCTTGCCAGTTCTGGAGGTTCGACTCCACCCACAAAGATCAAAAGTAAAACGACTTTCCTCGCTGTGGGGGGTCGATTGTAAAACTTTCCGCATTGAGCGAGCGCGAAAGCGAAATTGTGCTGTAGCTACCAGGAATCGTGCGCATCTTTATGAGAAGAACCAGCCAGGATACCAGAAAAAATCAGTCAATGGAGTGGAAGCGGAAGCTTCACGCCAATGTCCTGAACATGACTCTGGTAATTGCTCATGCTGCCAGAAGAGATGATGTGATGGATGACAGGGCACCACGGTTCTGCTATGCTCACACAATTGCAACGATGATCCGAAAAGCCCAGGCCCGGATCTTCCCTCGTGAAGCGCAGCTTCACGAACACATTGTGGATGAGCTGCTGGGAAGCTGGGGAGCACGCCAGGCTGACTTCCACGCTGTTCTGGATGCAACATGTGGGTCTCGGCGCTCCACTTCTGCCCACTTTCAGCCAACGAGGCAGCCTGTGAAGTTTCAAAGCCGCAGGGACGACACATCATGGCGACCTTTGCACTGGATGCTTCAGCTTGGCGCCGCTTTGGGGACTTCTTTGAGACAAAACATCCAGATGGCGTACTCACAGCGGATGTTCAAAATGATCTCAGACTGGAGCAGCAAGCTGGAACAGTGCTGGTTTGTGGCTTGAGTTCTTCAGATGGCGAGCCTTGCTGGAGGATCCAGGATCCGCTCATGTCGTCCCGCACATGGAAGGTTAAAATGACTTCCACCTGGAAGACTTGTCTTCACAAGAAGTCAGGCTCTTCGACACAGCCCCTCGCAGACGTCGTTTCGAGGTGACCAGGAAAGACGTTGCCTCAAAGGTGTCAGAGCTTCAGGCCTTAAACTGCGGATTGAGTGGATTGACCGCTGGAGCCCTATCAGGAGATGGTACAGAGAAAGCTGACCTGCTCCGAATCTATCCAGGTCACGTCACTGCTGAAGTGAACGGGCAAAAACGCCGAGATGATATCCTGAACGCCCTTGACAATGCTGACACGCTGAGGATTCTTGTTGTGAAACCGAAGAGCTAGACAGCAAGTGTCTCAGCACGTCTGTGGGGCATAAGGCTGACAAGTTGTGAGGACAGGACACCGCACGCAGGCTTTGCAGCTCATTCAAGAGTGTGCCTGATCCTGAACTATGAACCTTCCGGCGTCATTCCGGAGAAGTAGAAAAGGCTGAGCTGCTAGAGACGGAGTGGGACTTGCGGGTCTGACACAAGACAAGGATTTCTACAACGACCCTCCCCATTTCCCAAGCGTTACGGCTATTTGGTTGGATCTTTGGACAGTAGGTTTTCGGGAATTTAGGGAATTTTGAGAGGGGACCACCAAAGGAAGTAACTTTTCGCAGAGGGGCCGTTACTGCAACCAAGCTTATTGAGCCCAGTTTCATTCCCAAGATCCAAGTTGTCTGGGCTCACTTCTGAGTGAGTTGGCCACAAAAAGCTCTCGGAACTCAAGCGAGTGGATTCCGGTTTAGGAATCCCTGTGGACGTGGACGCCACTGTCGAAGATCCGCGCTCAGGGCGACCTCTGGGCTGGCGATCTGCGGCGGCTCGCCGGGGCCGGATTTCGCGCCGCGGTGGTGGACCCTCCATGGGAGAGCCTCGCGGCAAGAGGATTTTGCCTGGTGGGAAGTGGAAGTCCCATGTCCCATGCTCCAGCAACACATCAAGGAGACTGTCCAGCGCTGCCTTTTTGGAGGGTTCTGTTTTGGAAACGCCCAGTGAGTTGCTTCCGATGTTCGAACTCCTTACCAGCGAGTCTATGACCAGGGGGTAATGAATCAGTGGTCAGTAGAACCCAGACCTCCTGTGGGTCGCGGAGGAGTTCAACGTGTTTGGAGCCGCCCCGTTTGCCAAAGAGAAACAAAGCAGGGTTAAGACCACCCTGATTCTCCCATACCCTCCCGGGGAAGTAGGTACTTTGTTCGGGGTTCATGCGTTGTCGTTTGTTTTGTGTGTAGGATTTCCTGTTTAGGTTGTGCCCTTTAGACTATGTGGTTGGCCGTTTCCGGGCACGACTTTTGGGGGTCCCTGGATTTCGAGCTCCGTTTCATTGGAGCCAACCAACTGCAATTCCATTGCCACCTTGGATCTTGATGTGAAAGGGCTTGATGTTGGCCCTGTGTTGATGTCATGCCCTTGGCTCTTGATTCTACAGTAGAAAAAGGGAGCAAAGACCCGATCGGTGTTCTCAGCGAAATTAAAAGGAAGTCAACAGTCGTCCTGCTCGGCGGTGTCCGATGTTTCACGTGTGGTGTAAAACTACGGATTACGGCTCCGCCTATGCTTAGGGCTTAGGGGGCTCGATTACTATCATTTTCCCATAGCCAGTTCAGGGTACCCCAAACACATTCTACTTGTTCGCTCCTTGGGTTGTGTCTTTCTTGGGAGCAAAAGTGTGGTCTTACACCCCCGCAAACCGGCCTAAAACAGCTAAACCTGTTGGTTTTCGCAACCCCCGCGACACAGCTACCCTCCCTCAACGGCAGAAAACAAGCCTCCGAGGCAAGAGTCGAGGCGCGGTCACCCATCAGATGGGTTCCGGAAGGTCCGGAAGGGTGCAAAGGGGGGCTCTGGGCGTGCCATTTAGCCACGTGTTAGCTGGTTTCCGTTTGGACCCTCTGAATACCTGTTTTCCTTTGCGGAGCCCCTGCTTTGATCAGAGCCAAAAGGAAGCTTCAGCAATTCCGTTCCCGAGCAGGAGTTCTGGTTGCATCTCTTGTGAGGGGTCGGCTTCGTTTCAGCGCGGGTTGTTTGCACATGCGATCCGATCAAATTCTATGGACCAAAGCCAAGGCGCGGCAGGTCCTTCGCTGGGCTGTTTCCGTTCAAACTGTTCTTGGGGAAACCCTTGAAACTCAACGACCACAACATAAGGCCATTTGGGTGGATCATTGGGTTTTAACGTTTTGGGAAGCAGTGGATTTTACAGAGGGGACTCACCAAGAGTTAAGCTTCTTGCAGGGGGTCAACGGCAACCAAGATAAAGCACCGCTTTTTGGTTGGAAAAATGAAGAAACACACGGTATGAGCGATGTTTTCCGCACAGCGGCGGCGGCCGCGCTTGCGCAAGGAAACCCGCTCACTCGATCGCAGACTTGCCCGCCATGTAAGCCTACCGCCAAGCCTAGACGCTGGCGACTGTCCGTTTTGAAGGCCGGGCAACGTGGCATCAGAAGCCCGTCGAAAGGCCAGGGAGGCCGGGGATGTTTTGTGATGCAGGCAACGCTGAGGAGGAGCTTGGGGTGCAACAAAACACGTCAGCGGTATACCCTACGGGTAGAGTTGCCCTCGCTCTTCGAGCTCGAAGACACACAGCGCAGCTCGATTTGCTTGCTTTGGTTGTTTGTTTGTTTGCTTGGTTGCTTTGTTTGTGTCTCTGTCCTGTCCTGTCCTGTCTGTTTGTTTGGTTGGTTATGATTGACGAATTAATCTGGTGTTGTGTCTTTCTGTATGTTCACGATTGTGTGTTTGTTTGTTGGTTGGTTGCTTGTTTGGTTGGTTGGTTGTTTGTGTGTTTGTTTGTGTGGTTGTTGGTTTTGTTTTGTTTTGTTTGTTTGTTTGATTCCTTGATTGTTTGATTGATTGTTTGTTTGTTTGATTGTTTGTTTGTTTGTTGGTTGGTTTGTTTGGTTGTTTGTTTTTGTTTGTTTGCTTGCATGGTTGTTTGTTTGTTTGTTTGTTTGTTTGGTTGGTTGTTTGTTTGTTGTTTGTTTGTTTGCATGTTTGTTTGCATGTTTGTTTGTTTGTTTGTGTGTTTGTTTGTTTGTTTGTGTGTTTGTTTGTTTCTGTTTTTCTTTCGTTCGTTCTTTCTTTCTTGGCTGCCTGATTGTCGTTCTGCCCTTCTTTGTTGTTTAGTTTCTGGTCTTTGCTTTTCTTTGTTTCTTCTGTGCATTTGTGGTTTGATTTGATTGATGGATTGGATTGGAATGGAATGGGTTGGAATGGAATGGATTGGATTCCTTGAGTCATTGATTCATTGTTTCATTGGTTGCTTGATTGATGATTTGATTTGTTGATTGATTTGAGTTGTTTGTTTGTTTGTTTGATTGATTGGTTGATTAGTTATATTTAATCATTGTTTGATTGATTGGGTGCTTGATTGATCTCGGTATTTGTTTAAATATGTATGCTTGTATGGTTGATTGATTGATTGCATTGATAGATTGATTGCTTGATTGATTCGTTAATTAATTTATGTATACTGTTTGATAGCTTGATTTGTGTATTTTTGTATTTCTTTAAGTGGTTTATGTGTTGGCTTAGTTGGCTATTTATGTATTTACTTGATCGCTTGTTTGATTGTTTGACTCATTGGTTGGTTGGTTGGCTGGTTGGTTTTGATTTCATTTGGTTTGATTTGATTTGATTTGATTGATGGGTTGGATTTGCTTGGATTGGGTTGGATTGTATTTGATTGGATTCGAATAGACCGGATTTGGTTGGATGGATGATGGACGGATCGATTGACTCATTGCCTTGCTTAAGCCGGTTCTGGTGAACCTTCTGAGTCCGTGGGGTGGCCGGTCAGGGCTGAAGTACCAGAGCTGCCAACCCCAGCAACTGCTGCAGCTGCCGTTGGGCGAACTGTTGGCGCCTGACGCGCTGGTGGCCGTTTGGGCTGCTCGGACCTCCATGGGTTTCCGCGGTTTTCTTGGAAGCACCATTTCCCAACTTTATACTTGGATGCTCCAGCCATCCAGTTCCTTAGCTTTTTTAGGTTTTAGTTGGTTGGGTGGTAGTTTCCGAATTTAGCCCACTACAAGTTAAAGATTTAGCATGGGAATTGAGGGCAGCCCAGTATAAGGGAACTAGGGGACCCAAAAAGACTGGTAGGGTTCCCTGTGGGTTCCCTTCAAAGCAACGACAAAACAGGTAGCCGCAAGAAAGACAACCTTGTTTGTTTGACTTGCCCTCCTTTTGGGCAATCTTTGGCACTCTTCTTGCTTGACATATTTTTGCATTCAAGGGTTCACTTTGGGCCAGAATCAAAGATGTTGTTTCTTTCTTTCTGACAAAGGCTGAGCAAGGTTAGTCAAGGATAGTGGACATCCAGTCGCTTGATCCTTGACAAATACGAGGAAACTGGGTGAGGCGAAGGGGTGAGCACCCAACTTTAGGAAACATCCAGACTTTGTTCAAACATGTTGAAGCCACTCGTATTGACCCCAGATGAGTAAACCAATCCTATTAATAGTGGGTTATTTATCCGGGTTCCCAGTATTGTTGAGCCTCCTGTTAGAGGGATTATCACCTTCCCCCCCACCCCACTTGGAGTGCTGGTCATAATTTGGTTTCACTGGCGCCAGCTCTTCAAAGGGTCATTCCGTTTCTTGGGCCAGTTTTGAGAGTTTCGGTCTCCACGCAAGGTGACCAATGACCCAAAGAAGCAGGCGGGATCGGGCGATCCGAAGGAACTCGGACGGTGAGCCGATTGTTTGGGCCAAAATGAGTGGGCCAAGTGGTTCATGTACCCTCCCTCCAACCATGGCAGCTGACAGGAAGGTGTGGGAAGACGTTTTTCTTGGGGGAGACCTCGGTGTCCAGTTCCATTATTGTTGCAAAACATACGCTAAAAAGTGGAATCCTATCCTGCCAAGCTCCTTGCACGCAGTCAAAAGTTCCACTCTTGAAGACTCGAGTCAATGTGCAAAAGGTGACGGGTGCAAAAGGGTTCTGACTTCAGAACGCTCAAGGTCAAGTCAGCTTTTTCAGGCAACGTGGGTACTTCTGGTAAGGCTCGTATCCACTGGTCGCGAGGGGTGTTTGTTCAGTTCCTGCTTGGGGGTCTTACCGCAAATAGGAGCCGGCCTTTCCGTTTTCCCCAGCCAGGTCGGGTGTGCAACCCCCGACAAAACATGCTGAGATCCGTTTTGTTTTACGGGGCGCCACCAAGTCCCATGTCGAGTTTCGAGGAAAAACGGGGCCCTCCAAATGCCTTGCCACCTTTGTGGTTCCCAGCAATCCGGTTCCTTAGGTTCTGAGCGTTTTAGTTGGTTTAGCGGTTGGGTTTCCAAATCTGACTCACGAGTTGCAAACTGTTGGCAGGGGGTCAGAAAACGGACAGCCCAGGTTTGCGTGGTTTTCTGAAAAAAAATTGACTCGGGTTGTTAGAGTTCTGGAAGGCAGTCAAGTGGCTCGGTCTAGAAATCAGGCGGGTTTGGGTTCCAAGGGAAATGACCCGCAAATACATGGCCAAGACTTTGGAGGCCTTCGTGCGTGACGAGCTCTTCAAATCCTGGGGCGTGCAGGCGGTCGCATGCTGGACCTGGGTCAAGGCCTGGCCTTTGGGGCCCGCCTTTGGGAACAAACGTTTTTTCACGGTTGTTGTTGGGAAACATTTTACATTTTTGCTTATTGTGGTTTAGTGGGAAATCCCCACTTTAGTGGGAAATCCCCACTTGACTGCTAAAATTTAAGTTTTTGCTTCCCTTCCAACGTTAACCAAGTTTTGGATCCCCGAATTTTCTTGGTGCTGTCCATGCAATCAAACATGGTGGGCCTACGATACCCGTCCCACGCAGCTGAATGCTGGGTTACGCCCGAAAGCTCCAGCAGACTGATCGCTGACGGTTTGTTCACTGTAGTTTGTTCCCCCCAGGATCTGGAACATTTGCGCACTCAGACTGAGAAAGTGAGACAGGAAGCACTTCTTGCGGGATCCACGACCATTTCTCCCCCAAAGCTGCAGTTTAGCTGTGGGCATAGGTGTTTTCTTGCAGCTATCTGGGGAAGAACCAAAGAAAGAGAGGGAGAGAGAGAGAGAGAGAAAGAGAGAAAAGAGAGAGAGAGAGAGAGAGAGAGAGAGAGAGAGAGGCGCCGTTCTTTTCTTGTGGCGCGTTTATCATGCAACTCTTGCCAGGTATGTTTGAAAAATTGTAGGACGCAAAATTGGTGGTCCTTTTGATTTCCCTGCCAAACCTGGGCTGCTGTTCCCCCTGAGCAAAAGATCTCCGGGCCTATAAAAGTTCACACCAAAGACCAGCCAAGAAACCAACCAGGAAGGTCCTCCAAGCCAAGCAAAAGGGAGTCCAAAAAAGGGGGTGCCCCAAAAAGGGGGGTGCCCAACAAAAGGGTTGTCAAAAGGGTTCCCAAAAAGGTATGTGCACAATGTTGATTCATAATTACTTTGCGTCAACATTAGAGACCCCACCAAACAGTTGGTTTTACGCAGGGTTAGATGGGCCTAAGTTGCCATGTTGGTTGACTTTATTTTGCTTTGGGCCTTTATTTGCATCCCCGCATGTTTCCCAACTGCAGGTCCAATTTTAGCCCTGACCTGAAAAGGAGATCAGGAACCAATGCAAAGCTGTATTGTACGGTCGAGTTCGGTACATTTCCCTTCGGCGATGTTACACATCCGGAAGCAGATCGCAGCCGCGCTGTGGGTTGGTTCCTTCTTCCCTTCTTGGGAGGGAGTTTCCCCCCCAAAACCCACAGGAAATCCCATGGAAAGCAGGGAATCCAGAGTTTGTTCCCTTTTTTCCCCATGAAAATCCAGGGTTTGAAATTGAGTCAGGTCACCAACCAGGGGGAGCCGGTGTTGCCCTTCGGCAGCGAGAGGCCGCGTTTGCCGTTTGAGAAGGTCCTCGTGGCAAGGATGTGCGGGGTCGATTGAAGGTTTGGGTGGAGGGGCTTTCGTGGTTTGGTTTGAGGAAAAGCCTTTATGGCTATGTGCTTGGATCTTTGCACCTTAACTTTTTGGTTGAAACAGGTCGGCTTTTTCAGAGGGGACCAACATAAAAAAATGAACACTTTTTGCAGGGGGGTCAACGGCAACCAAGAATCGGCTTGTTGTTTCCATGCCGCAAGGTGTCTAGATGATTCGATGTCTAGGTTTTACACACGCACGCGCGATTGTTCCGGCATTTGCTGCAGTCAGTGAGCGGAGATGAAATCTGAAGCTTTGACCAGGTATCTTCCCTGCATGTGTTCATGCCAAGCCACCTGGCTGGCTTCTCTCATGCAATTGATCCTCTTCTCAACGGTTTCCTTAGCTGTGTCGTTCGGCAGTTTTTTGCACAGATCAGGATGGCCTTTTCTTCATTGTAATGATGCTTTGGCAGGAAGCCTATCTGTGAGTCGCCCTGCTTCACCAACTGCATCTTCTGAGCAACTGCCACTGTCCTTGCTGCCGATGTGCGACCCTGTAGATTTGCACTGGTGAAGTGGCAGCGCCCATTTGTTGCATTCGCCAAATTGAGACCCAAGGCCCTCGTCGTTCACAAGCGGTCTTTTGTTACCTTTCTCATGCGGTTTGGAGTCTGCTTAGCAGCTCGCATTGTCATACCAAGACGTAGAAAGCAACTACTTGAATTTCAGTGCTTGCGAGTTCTTTGCAGAGGTGTTGGCCATGGTGACAGCTCATCATCAGATTTATGGCTATTCAAAGCTACCAAGTATTGCATCGTGTTGCGGTGCAGCAATGACCATTCTGCACTGTTGATGTTTATGTCCTCACTCCCTGAGTTGGGAAACCATGTTAATGGCAATTACACAGTTCAGGGAACTAAACAGTTCAGACTTTGGGCCAATCCACTCGATCAGAAGTGAGAAAGTCCTGTCAGTGACCGCAAGCCACGGCTTAGCCTCGTCCAACCATGGAAGTGAGCAGCAAAACGGGTCCCCTCCTGTCAATTGGACAGAGGGTGGCCCCTGCGAGGAAGCCAGGGAGCGAGCCTGCGAAGGAGGAGGAGAGAATTGTTGCGTTAAAGCTATGTGGATGGACAGAATCCATTTTACACCTGGATGAAAACCCATGGATACTGGTGGATAAACTTACCAACTGGTGCAGGGTTGCGTCCAGCAATGGGATGCTGCCGACTGAACTTCCCCAAGTCACGGTTCACTTCTTTCGGTGTTCAAACTTTAGATATCGCTGGGTAGGCTATCCAAATGCACCCCAAACAAGGGAACCTCCTTTGAGGCAGACCCAAAGCTCGATGGATTTGGGCTAAATTAGAACCACCGATCCGAATCCGGGGTTGAAAGAAGTGAAAGCCCATGAAAGTCCCTTGGACATGGTCCTGAATTCCAGATGGCGAGTCATAGTTTGCCCACAATAGGCCTGCCAGTCAGTAAGTTTGGGACGCGCTTGCCCCCACCCGATGTCCCAATAATGAAACCAGGGCCCCACCCAAACTGTCCTTTGGGGAGGGAGGTTCGATGTCCAACTTTCTCAATCGATGGGCAAGTTGGGGTTCGAACATGGGGTTCGCTCACCAAAAACATGTTGTCTATGCTCAGGTTGCAGTTCGGGATGCGGGGGAAATTATTGTCCCACCAAGCAAGGACAAGTCCTGCTTTTTGCAATGCTCCTTAATGAATCATAGCGGGGGCTTCATGGTAGAACCAAAAGTCGATGGTGTCGGGTCCTCCAAGTGCAAGCCCCCAGACGCATTTTTGTCGAGGAAGACGCTTTGGGGCAATCCGTTTCTTGGACTTTGTGAATTTTCAGGAGAGTACCAGCTGATTCCGAGTCTTCCTTGGCATTGGTCAGTCGCTGAGATTGGTTGGAAACCGAGGGTCCCGTCAAACAACTGACAGTCATACTGTGGACGAAATCCCGCACCGCCCTGAGAAATCATAAGAAACCATTGTTTGGTGGCATTTACAGGGGAATCCTCATTCCAGGGTTTCTTAGATGGTGCAGGATTCCATCCACAGTAATTTTGACCACAAGCTCGGGAGTTTCAGAGCCCATCGGTCAGAGACATAGATGGCTTGGAGCAAATCGATTCGAGCGTTACGTATTGCTTTACAATATTGCACGGGATGCAACATCCTGCTGGTTTGATCATGTTCGCAGTGTTCTCTTTCGCACAAAGCTACGGATTCCTTTCGAAGTTCTTTCCCTACTCAGCTCACTTCAGCGCCGCCCAAAGCGAATCGACCGGATGCGATCTTTTGGATTCCCTTTGAAAGAAAAAGTGGCTTCGTTTTTTCGTTTTTCCCCGTGGCCTGGCAGCCTGGCAGTCAGAGAGTCCACCAGCCTCTCGTTTCGTGTTTCTCCCCTTTCACGTGATAGGCTCCGATCGGAGCCGAGAAGCTCCGGAGCTTGGAAAGGGTCGGGGGTTGATGCACCCAGATAGAAATGTCAGCCCCCACCTGTTGTTGGCTTTTTTGGAGAGGGGGGGGGAGTTTTCGGCAGGATCGCGTCTTCTCGGCAGTTCCGGGCCTGCACAGCCAGCTCCTTGGCCCAAAAAGGCCGTGCTGAAAGGCTCAAGAGCAATTTGTCCGGTTGCCACCGATTTCCTTGGCCAAACCACCAATCCAAACCGCCAATTGAAAGCTGATGGGTGGTGGGAATTGAAGCCCTGGTTCTTGAAATTCAAGGCCATGGGGTTTGCCACCCCCGAAACACCTATGAACTACCAAATCCAAACCACCAATCTAGGAGGGAAGCTGAGATTGTTTGCTTCTCGTAGCTGGCTGTTCATTGATGTCATGCTTTAGCTGTTGCTTTTTGTTTGTGTTTTTTGTGAAGGTAGGTGTTTGTATGACATGTTCTTTGGTTTGAGTGGCCCGACCATTCGAATGCGTCAGGAAAGGAGTGTGATTGGGAACCCAACAGCCAGACTTTAAGGGATCCGGAATGAGCCTGTCTTTCCTGCGACTCTGAAACTCCGGACCTGGTGAGTCTGTCCAACCATGTTGCTTGACTGCAATACCAGTCATTTTCGTGTAGCGTGTAGGTCACCTCTCAGCCGGTTCTTGTTTGTGGGACCCAGTGTGTTCCCTTTCGTTGATGTGTAGCTGCAGGTGGCGAATTTTCGGGGCAAGTTGGCTGTGCCATGGCACTCCACGGGCCAAGTAGGCTTGCTTTGTGATTGAGGGGGATTTAAATCAGCCGCCACTTATCCATCATCCAAGTAGCATTTGCTCATCCCAGGCCTTTGTTTTTGATACTTGCCCTGGTTTTGCTTCAAAGGTCAATAGGCATGCCTACAAAGAACAGTGTGTTGAAGGTAGACGTAAGCCTATGTTGGTTTAGTCCTCCCCCTTTACAAAAAAATACATAAAGGCAAGTGCGCCATCTATATACTTCCATCCAAGTGGCTGTCTCATTGTGGCACCTGAACTTCGCCGGTCTTATTACTTCGTTCTCTAGAAATTTGGCGTTTAGCTTTGTATAGCTTTGTAGTTGGTTTAGTGGTCGGGTTTCCATTTAACCCACAACTTAAACACTTTTAGGGGATCAGTTTGGACAGCCCCTATAGGAGCTTCTCCAAATGAATTTTGGGCCCCTCTTAGTTTTTTTTTTCCGAGACCTAATTTTGAGAAACCCGCAACTTGGGGGTGTGCTTTTGCTTTTAAACCAACCAGAATAGGTCCGGTACCCCCTCGGTGGTTATTGATGGTTTGGGGATTTGAACCCGCTTTTGTGGAGGGTCAATGGGGTTTCCCATCCCTGAACCACCACCAAAACACCGGGCTCCAAACCAACTGTGAAGCTGAATAGGTGGGTGTGTTTGTGTTTTGGACCAGAATGGGTGGTGCCATTATCCATTTGTAGAGAGTGTTTTTGCTTTTGGACACCCATGGGTGGGAAAAAGCCCTTTTGGCTTCCCCTTAAAACCCAACCAGGAGGAAGCTGACTCATTCCATTCCATGAAGATCATCAATGACCATGGCCTTCTGTATGAAACACTACCCGACAATCCAAACCACCCTAAAGAGGTGGCGGTTGATCAATACTCCTGGCCCCCCAAATGACCATCTTTTAGTGGTGCTGATGGCCCTGTGTTTGCGGGACATTTTCTGATAGGTAAAGGGAAGTCTCAGAGTTTGCGGGACATTTTCTGATAGGTGAAGGGAAGTCTCAGAGTTTGCGGGACATTTTCTGATAGGTAAAGGGAAGTCTCAGAGTTTGCGGGACATTTTCTGATAGGTGAAGGGAAGGTGAAGGGAAGTCTCAGAGTTTGCGGGACATTTTCTGATAGGTGAAAGGGAAGTCTCAGAGTTTGCGGGACATTTTCTGATAGGTGAAGGGAAGTCTCAGAGTTTGCGGGACATTTTCTGATAGGTAAAGGGAAGGTCTCAGAGGTTGCGGGACATTTTCTGATAGGTGAAGGGGCAAGTCTCAGAGTTTGCGGGGACATTTTCTGATAGGTGAAGGAAGTTCAGTGTTTGGCGGACATTTCTGATAGGTGAAGGGAAGTCTCAGAGTTTGCGGGACATTTTTTGATAGGTAAAGGGGTCGTCATCAGAGTTTGCGGGGACATTTTTCTTGATAGGTTGAAGGGATGTATCAGAGTTTGCGGGACTTTTGCTGATAGGGATGGAAGGGAAGTCTCAGGTTTGCGGGACATTTTCTGAATAGGTAAAAGGGGAAGTCTCAGAGTTGCGGGGACATTTTTTCTGATAGGTAAGGGAAGTCACAGAGTTTGCGGGACATTTTCTGATAGGCTGTCTCAAGGTAAGTCTCAGAGTTTGCGGGGACATTTTTCTGATAGGTGAAGGGAAAGTCTCAGAGTTTGCGGGCATCTTTTATCTCAGCCGAGGGAAGTCTCAGGAGTTTGGGCCCCCGTCCTCCACCGGTGAAGGGAAGTCTCAGAGTTTGCGGGACATTGTCTGATAGGTGAAGGGATGTCTCAGAGTTTTGCGGGACATTTTCGGATAGGTAAAGGGAAGTCTCAGAGTTGACGGGACCTTTTTCTGATAGTAAAGGAAGTCTCAGAGTTTGCGGGGGACTTTTTCTGATAGGTGTTAGGGGATGTCTCAGAGTTTGCGGGACATGTCTGTTAGGTTAAAGGGTAGTCTCAGAGTTTGCGGGACATTTTTCTGATAGGTGGAAGGGATGTTTTTTTGGTTTTGGCGGGACATTTTGCGATCAGGTTAATGGATAGTCTCAGGAGTTTGCGGGACTTTTTTCTGATAGGTTAAGGGGAAGTCTCAGAGTTTGCGGGGACATTTTCTGATGGTGTAGGGAAGTCTCAGTGTTTGCGGGAAATTTTCTATAGGTTAAAGGGAAAGTCTCAGATGTTTGGGCGGGGGGAGGGGGGGGGGGTGGGGGAAGGGGGGGGACTTTTTTCTGAGGGGTATAAGGGAAGTCTCAGAGTTTGCGGGACATTTTTTTTCTGATTAGGTGAAGGGAAGTCTCAGAGTTGGCGGGGACTATTTTCTTGATAGGTAAAGGGGAAGTCTCAGAGTTTGCGGGGACATATTCTGATAGGTAAAGGGAATGTCTCAGAGTTTGCGGGACATTTTTTGATAGGTGAAGGGAAGTTCAGAGTTTGGGGACTTTTTCTGTGAGGTTATAGGTGATGGCTTCAGAGTTTGCGGGACTATTTTCTGTTAGGATGATAGGGAAGTCTCAGAGTTTGCGGGGTCTGGTTCTGATAGGTGAAGGGAAGTCTCTGTGTTTGCGGGACATTTTTTCTATAGGTGAAGGGACGTCTCAGAGGGTGCGGGACATTTTCTGATGGGTGAAGGGAAGTCAGTGTTTTGGGCGGGTTTTTTTTTGGGGGTGGTTGGGGGGGGTTGGGGGGCAGGGACTTTTCTGATTAGGTAAAGGGAAGTCTCAGTGGTTGCGGGACATTTTCTGATAGGTAAAAGGAAGTCTCAGAGGTTTGCGGGACATTTTTCTGTTTAGGTAACGGGATGTCTCAGAGTTTGCGGGACATTTTTCTGATTAGGTGAAGGGAAGTTCTCAGAGTTTGAGGGACATTTTCTGATAGGTGAAGGGATGCTCAGAAGTTTGCGGGACATTTTACTGATAGGTGAAGGAAGTCTCTGAGTTTGCGGGTCTTTTTCTGATAGGTGAAAAGGTGAATGTCTAGAGTTTGGGGACATTTTCTTTGATAGGTGAAGGGAAGTTCTCTCAGTTGTTTGCGGGACATTTTCTGATAGGTAAAGGGAAGGTCTCAGGTTTGCGGGACATTTTCTGATAGGTGAAGGGAAGTCTACAGAGGTTGCGGGACATTTTCTGTAGGGAAGGGAAGTCTCAAGTGTGTTGCGGACGGACATTTTCTGATAGTTAAAGGGAAGTCTCAGAGTTTGCGGGACATTTTCGATAGGTGAAGGGAAGTCTCAGAGTTTGCGCTCATTTTTTCTGATAGGGTGAAGGTGTATTTAGCATCCTGAACTAATTTTTCATAGGCAATTAACACTCTAAAGTATTTTAGGGTGTAATTGGCCTGATAGGTGGTAGGGAAAGTCTCAGAGTTTGCGGGACATTCTTTATGTTTAGGCCGAAGGGATGTCTCAGAGTTCACCTGCGCTTCGGAGAAATGCCCATGGCACAGTCAGAGTTTGCGGACATTTCGAAAACGTTTTCGAAGGTCTCAGAGTTTGCGGGACATTTTCTGATAGGTAAAGGAAGGTCTCAGGAGTGTGCGGGACATTTTCTGATAGGTGAAGGGGAAGTCTCAGAGTTTGAGGGACATTTTCTGATAGGTGAAGGGAAGTCTCAGAGTTTGCGGGACATTTCTGATAGGTGAAGGGAAGTATCAGAGTTTGCGGGACATTTTCTGATTGGTGATGGGAAGTCTCAGAGTTTGCGGGACATTTTCTGATAGGTGAGGGGAAGTCTCAGATTTGCGGACATTTTTCTGATTGGTGAAGGGAAGTCTCAGAGTTTGCGGGACACTTTCATGGCAGTTGATAGGGGAGTCTCAGAGTTGCGGCCGGGACATTTTCTGATTGGTGAAGGGAAGTCTCAGAGTTTGCGGTCATTGTCTGATTGGTGAAGGAAGTCTCAGAGTTTGCGGGGGAAAACCCCCCCCCAATTTCGGATTTCAGAGTTTGCGGGACTTTTTCTGATAGGTGAAAAGGGAAGTTCTCAGAGTTTGCGGGACATTTTCTGTTAGGTGAAGGGCATGTCTCAGGTTTGCGGGTTTTTTTTTTTTTTTTATTGGTTTGGAGCGGTTTTTTTTTTTTTTTTTTTTTTTTTTTTTTTTTTTTTTTTTGGGGAGGGACAATTTCGATAGGTTTGAAGGGATGTCTCAGAGTTTGCGCTGACATTTTCGATAGGTGAAGGGATGTCTCAGATGTTTTGCGAGACATTTCTGATAGGTGAAGGGAAGTCTCAGAGTTTGCGGGGACATTTTTGATAGGTGAAGGAAGTCTCAGAGTTTGCGGGACATTTCTGATAGGTGAAGGGAGGTCTCAGAGTTTGCGGGGCCATTTTTGATAGGTGAAGGGAACGTCTCAGCGTTTGGGGGACATTTTTTGATAGGTGAAGGGAGAAGTCTCAGAGTTTGAGGGAACATTTTTATGTTAGGTGAGGGAAGTCTCAGAGTTTTGCGGGACATTTTCGATAGGTGAAGGAAGTCTCAGAGTTTGCGGGGACATTTTCTGATAGGTGATGGGAAAGTCCTCAGAGTTTGCGGGACATTTTTCTGATAGGTGAAAGGGAAGTCTCAGAGTTTGCGGGGAAATTTTCTGATAGGTGAAAGGGAAGTCTCAGATTTAGCGGGACATTTTCTGATAGGTGAAGGGGAGTCTCAGAGTTTGCGGGACATTTCTGATAGGTGAAGGGAAAGTCTCAGAGTTTGCGGGGACATTTCTGATAGGTGAAGGAAGTCTCAGAGTTTGCGGGGAATTTTCTGTACCCCCCCCCCCCCCCCCCCCCCCCCCCCCCCCCCCCCCCCCCCCCCCCCCCCCCCCCCCCCCTGGTGAAGGGATGTTCTCAGAGTTTGCGGGACATTTTCTGATAGGTGAAGGGAAGTCTCAGGTTTGCGGGAATTTTCTGATAGGTGAAGGAAGTCTCAGAGTTTGCGGGGACATTTTCTGAGAGGTGAAGGGAAGTCTCAGAGTTTTGCGGACATGTTCTGAATGGTCAAGGGAAGTCTACAGAGTTTGCGGGACATTTTCTGAAGGTGAAGGGAAGTCTCCGAGTTTGCGGGACATTTTGATTGGTGAAGGGAAGTCTCAGAGTTCTGCGACATTTTCCTGATAGGTGAGGAAGTTCTCAGAGTTTGCGGGGACATTTTCTGATAGGTGAAGGGATGTCTCAGAGTTTGCGGGCCATTTTCTGATAGGTGAGGGAAGTCCTCAGAGTTTGCGGGACATTTCTGATAGTGAAGGGGAGTCTCAGAGTTTGCGGGCATTTTTCTGATAGTGAGGGAAGGTCTCAGAGTTTGCGGGACAGTTTGATAGGTGAAGGGAAGTCTCAGTGTTTGCGGGGAATTTCTGATAGGTGAAGGGAAGTCTCAGAGTTTGCGGCACATTCATTTTCTGATAGGTGAATGGAAGTCTCAGACCCGTGTTTGCGGGACATTTTCTGATAGGTGAAGGAGTTCGATTTTGCGGCGACCATTTTCTTGATTGGTGAAGGGGGGACAAAAACAAAAATTTTAAAAAAGTCTCAGAGTTTGCGGGAACATTTTCTGATAGGTGAAGGAAGTCTCAAGGTTTGCGGGACATTGGTTCTGAATAGGGAAGGAAAGTCTTCAGAGTTTGCGGTCATTTTCTTGATAGGTGAAGGGAAGTCTCGAGTTTGCGGGCATTGCTGATAGGTGAGGGAAGTCTCAAGGAGGGGGCGGGGACATTTTCTGATAGGGGAAGGGAAGTCTCGAGTTGCGGGGACATTTTCTGATTGGTGAGGATGTCTAGAGTTTTCGGGACTTTTCTGATAGGTGAAGGGAAGTCTCAGAGTTTTGCAGACATTTTCTGATAGGTGAAGGGTAGTCTCAAGAGTTTGCGGGCCATTTTCTGATAGGTGAAAGGGAAGTCTCTGAGTTGGCGGGTCATGTCTGCTGGTGAAGGGATGTCTCAGTGTTTGGGTCGGCGGATATTCAAAGAGCGCTTCCAACTAGGTCAGCTCTGAGTTGCGGGGAACATGGGTTTTTTAGGGTGAAGGGAAGTCTCAGTTTTTGCGGGACATTTTCTGTAGGTGAAGGGAAGTCTCAGAGTTTGCGGGACTTTTTCTATAGGTGAAGGGAAGTCTCAGAGTTGGCGGGACATTTTTTTCTGATATGGTGAAGGGAAAGTTCAGAGTTTGCGGGACTTTTTCGTGATTGTGTGGAAGGGAAGTCTCCGGAGTTTGCGGGGACTTTTTTCTGATAGGTGATGCGGGTAAGTCTCACGAGTTTGCGGGACATTTTCTGATAGGTGAAGGGAAGTCTCAGGGTTTGCGGGAGACATTGTATGAAGGTGAAGGAAGTCTCAGAGTTTGCGGGGACCATTTTCTGATAGGTGAAGGGAAGTCTCAGAGTTTGCGGGAACATTTTCCTGATAGGTGAAGGGTAGTCTCAGAGTTTGCGGGACATTGTCTGATTGGTGAAGGGATGTCTCAGAGTTTGCGGGGTCTTGTTTCTGATAGGTGAAGGGAAGTTCTCAGAGTTGCGGGACATTGTCTGTTAGGTGAAGGGAGTAGCGTGTTTGGGGACATTTTTGATAGGTGAAGGGAAGTCTCAGAGTTTGCGGGTCTTTTTCTCGATTGGTGAAGGGATGTCTCAGAGTTGGCGGGCTTTTTCTGGTTTGGGTTGGGGGAAGTCTCAAGTTTGCGGGACATTTTTCTGATAGGTGTAGGGGAAGTCTCAGTGTTTGCGGGACATTTTTATGATAGGTGAGGTAGTCTCAGTGTATACGAGACAGTTTTCTGATAGGTGAAGGGAAGTCTCAGAGTTTGCGGGAACATTGTTCATGTTAGGTGAAGGGTAAGTCTCAGAGTTTTGCGGACATTTTCTGATAGGTGAAGGGAAGTCTCAGAGTTTGCGGGACATTTTCTGATTCGGGAAAGGGACGTCTCTGAGTTTGCGGGACATTTTCGATAGGGTGAGGGGAAGTCTCAGAGTTTGCGGGACATTTTTGATAGGTGAAGGGAAGTCTTCAGAGTTTGCGGGACATTTCTGATAGGTGAAGGGTATGTTCAGAGTTGCGGGACATTTCTGATAGGTTGAAGGGAAGTATCAGAGTTTGCGGGAATTTTTCTTGATAGGTTGAAGGGAAGTTCCAGAGTTTGGCGGGACTTTTCTGATAGGTGAAGGGAAGTCTCAGAGTTTGCGGGACATTTTTCTGTGGTGAAGGGAAGGTCTCTGAGTTTGCGGACATTTTCTGATTGGTGAAGGGAAGTCTCAGAGTTTGCGGGGCATTTTCTTTAGGTGAAGGGAAGTCTCTCAGAGTTTGCGGGAATTTTTCTGATAGGTGAAGGGAAGTCTCAGAATTTGCGGGACATTTTCTGGATGGTGAGGGAAGCTCAGAGTGTGCGGGACATTTTTGATAGGTGAAGGGAAGTCTCGAGTTTGCGGGACATTTTTCTGATAGGTCCGAAGGGATGTTCAGTGTTTGCGGGCATTTTCTGATAGGTGAAGGGAAGTCTCAGAGTTGCGGGACATTGTTCTGATAGGTGAGGGAAGTCTCAGAGTTTGCGGGACATTTTCTGATAGGCCAGAAGGCAACTCTGAGTTTGGCGGGACATTGTTGTAGGGCTTTCACGTAAAGGAATGCGAACCTACCAATTTTCTGATAGGTGAAGGGAAGTCTCAGTGTTTGCGGGACATTTTCTGATAGGTGAAGGGAAGTCTCAGAGTTTGCGGGACATTTTCTGATAGGTGAAGGGAAGTCTCAGAGTTTGCGGGACATTTTCTGATAGGTGAAGGGAAGTCTCAGAGTTTGCGGGACATTTTCTGATAGGTGAAGGGAAGTCTCAGAGTTTGCGGGACATTTTCTGATAGGTGAAGGGAAGTCTCAGAGTTTGCGGGACATTTTCTGATAGGTGAAGGGAAGTCTCAGAGTTTGCGGGACATTTTCTGATAGGTGAAGGGAAGTCTCAGAGTTTGCGGGACATTTTCTGATAGGTGAAGGGAAGTCTCAGAGTTTGCGGGACATTTTCTGATAGGTGAAGGGAAGTCTCAGAGTTTGCGGGACATTTTCTGATAGGTGAAGGGAAGTCTCAGAGTTTGCGGGACATTTTCTGATAGGTGAAGGGAAGTCTCAGAGTTTGCGGGACATTTTCTGATAGGTGAAGGGAAGTCTCAGAGTTTGCGGGACATTTTCTGATAGGTGAAGGGAAGTCTCAGAGTTTGCGGGACATTTTCTGATAGGTGAAGGGAAGTCTCTGTTCCCTCATCCCATGACCCCCAGGGTTTTCCCTTAGGAAGCCCTTCCTGGACGCCTGGCTGCCGGAGGGCCCCAAGCTGGAGCTCTTCGCGCGGAACCTGCGGCCGGGATGGACCTCGCTAGGCGGGGAGAGAGCTTGGGCGGGAACCCAAAATCCACCCTGCCCCCCAAAAAAAGAGGAAAAGCCACGTCCAAAAACCCCAGTGGGACCCCCAAAAACAAAAAAACACAGTTCCCAGGTCCAAAACCCCAAGTGGGAACCAAAAGCCGTGGTTGGAATCGGCTGTAAAAGCCCGAAAAGATAGGGGTGGCTCGTCCTTTTTGATGACGCCCTTTGTGGTTTTAAGAGGAAACCACCCAAGTGGTTGGTTGAAGGGACACCACCAACCAGTTTCTGACTTTGATCAGCCCCACAAATTGTCAAAACAATGACCCCAGAGAAACCCCGTATGGTTCCACGTCCGAAATCGCGCAGTGGGGTCTGGTGGGGTGCTGGCCGGAATCATGTCCGAAGCCTTTTTGGGTGATGTGTTGAAACCGAAATCGATCAACGAGCTCAAAATAGGATTTGGCGCTCTAAAACGGTTTGTTGTTGCCCTTTTGGGTTCCCTTTAGTATCCCCAAAAGGAGTCCACCATTTTGAGACCCCAACCCCCCCTCCCCAGTATTCCCCTTTTTGGTGATGCTTTGAGCACTTTCGGTTGCTGATTCGTGAGTTTCCTCGGGGGATGTGCAACCTTTGAGTTACAGGGAACTCAGGGTCCAGCACTAGTTCAAGGGGGAGCATAAGAAAACCAAACATTTCGGGAACCCGTATTTCGAGAAGCACACGAAAGTGTTTTTTTTGCGGTACCCTTTTGGGGGTGGGATTAAGGGGAGACCCAGCGAACAATGAGATCCGTGTTGGGAGTTGCCTCGGTGGTGAATAAGGGGCAAATCCAGGGAGCCGTGTTAGGTAGATGAATCAACATAGAGATGGCAAACACGCAAAATTGAGATGAGTATGAGTAAGCTGCAGTGGATGATAGTAAGAAGTATCGGTATGTGTCAAAATAAGGAAGTGGAGCGACAAATGATGCATTCATTGCGGTTTTGCTTTAGACCAACCTAAGAAACCGCATTTTGAACCAAACGCATGTCCACGAGTGCCAGGGAACTTCAACCAGGCTCCTCACACGTGGGGGGGCGATTCAATGCCAAGCAGCTGGCGAAATTAAACACGACCAGACAAAATTTAGGGCGTCGCCATTTTAGGGGTAAGGTACAGGATGATGGATTTCAGAATGGCATCCATTTGTTGTTTTGCTGTTTAGAGGTTAGAGGGAATTATGCACTTATTGCGTATCTCACTACAAGCATACACGTCACCAGGGATGTTACCTCACTTTTCCTTCGATATACCCTGTTGAGAGGCCGCAATGCACAGAACATGTCTGAAAATTTCAGCATTCGTGAGTGTGCATATACGTCCAAACGATGGCTTTCTTTTGGTGCTTTCATAAGCGCGGCCAATTAATTTATCCGTCGGCATTAAGTAGTGGCTTCAACCTAGTTTTGGACACCGCTAGGTATTCTTTCTGCATATTTGATGGCGAGCACACCATGATGAAGGTCCTTTACCTGGGGGAGCCAATTCTGAATTCAGCTTTTGGAATTATATTGAAATGTGCCGATTCTTTGCCCATGTTGAACCCCTGCCCCAGTTGCTTGTTGAAGCTGAAGACCTTGCAGGCAATCAGGTGCTGCTCTTCCAGAAAGCCTGCTTCTTCGAGCCGGAAGAAAAAGGAAGTGAGAAACTCCACGGAGAAAATCCACGATCAGCTCCAGGTGGCTTGTCAACCAGTGCTGAAACCTTTTTGCTCATCCGTGTGCAACTTGTGCGTGGATTTTGTCCAACAGCAGCTCCGTGTTGAATGTTTCCGGAGCAGCTACTTGAACCAGTCCTGTTGGGAGACATGGACCAGCACACGGATTCGAGGGTACAACCAGCGAGCTCACTCATGGCCTCCGAGGGGAATTCTTTCAAAATCGCGGTGGATTTGAAGTCTCGCACTTCTGAACTTGGTTCTGTCTTCTTTGAGGCTCCCCTTTTTAGGTCCCCTTTTTGTTGCGGTTTTGAAGACGGACACCAAAAGGAAACCCCCAAGGGTCCCCTTAAAAAACACACACACACACCCTTGCGATAAACCGAAACGCAACAAACAACAGGGCCCCCCGCGTGTGATACATAGAAACGCAACAAACAACAGGTCCGTTCTGGTACCGCGGATCTTCAGTTCGCAGGGGCGAGTCCCAAAACCTTGCAGATGGAAGAACTTCGATTTGGAGAAGGCGCTAAGTTGAACTGGCAGCCAGAGATATGAAACAGCCGCGCCTCGGGTATGTGCGTAACAAACAAGCGGCCCAGAAGTCGAAAACGGCTGTGTGTGATTTTTGTTGAAGGGTAGGAATCCCGTTGTGTCCGGTCCGAAAAGCGTCTTGTGTCGCCATCGCTCGGTTTCACGGGCGCGGATCAAGCGTGTGAACATCTTTTCCATGGGCTGAGCAAGGCCGGGGTTGCCACTCGCAAGGGTTGCTTGGGTTTGTCTCATGGGAATTGGAACTTTGAAAGAACATGTTGGGGTGACGTTTTTTAGGTTACATCGGTGTGTTTCAGCGCACCGATTTTGAGCCAAAAGTGATCAGCTTTTGCTTCCAGGACTGTCTTTTTGAAGGGTACCCCTTTTTTGTGATTTCAAAGGGAAACCAAAGGGAAAACCGCAGGGCAGCCACTTGTGTGAGAGCCTGCCTCTCCTGCCTGTCTCTTCCATTGCAAGGCATGCGCCTGTCTCGTGGCGAAGGCGACTTGTTTCGCCTCCAAAACCCTTGTTCCAGTTGGTTGACCAACAAATAAGAAATCGTATCCCAGAAGGGCTGACTGGGTTGCGGTTTTTCGTGCTTGCAGTTAATCATGTTTGTGTCTTGCGACTACCCGTCCCAGCCCCTTTTGAAACCTGAATCTCAACCCAAGTGCGACAGGCGCATGTGCTGCGGATGGTGAATTGGAATCAGCTGCAGAATGCGACTTGCCGGCAAGTCACTATGGATTGGTACGGGCAAACCAGTAAAGGGTTTGCCTTGATTCGATCTGCCATCCCGAAAGAAAAACCGCCGTGCTTTTCTGAGTTTCCTTTTGGTCAATCGAGGATCAGGTGCTGTTCCTCGTTGACAAACAAAACCCGGCCCCTTTGAAAGGCTCCCTTCAGACCCATGGAAACACCAACATAGCAAGCAGGTACCCAAGACACCAAATCCCCAAATCCCCAAATGGTCAGCTGGGAGCTGAGCCAAACAAGAGCCGCAGCTCAGGGGCGAAGTTGTCTTCCTGAAAAGTTTGACCGGTCAAGCGGACGCAAGAAAGTTGTTTGCGTGGGAGGGCGGACGCCGATTTCCTGGCAGCTCCAAGGGCAAAGGTTCCAAAGAGGCTATCAAGGTCCGCAAACATTCTGCTGTCAGTTTGCCGGCAACATGGGCAAGCCGCCAAATTCCCCATTAGAATCATAGAATTGGCCCTCCAATTGTCCAATGTCCTCTTGGGGAACGAATGTTGTGGCTCGAACATTCTCCTCGAGCTTGTTTCCCAAGCATGCATTCTCCTTCAGCTGGTTCTTCTTCCTTTCTACTTGTATCTTTTTTGGATGCTTCCAAAAATGGATGTGGACACCTCAAAATGTGGAGATGTCCAACTTTGGTTTCCCTTTCATCCTAAAGGGCCCCCCATTGTAGGAGCCCCGGAGCCCCCCAAGGCTTAGCGCGGCTGGCAAAGGGTATGCCCAGACCCAGGCCTTCCCCTGATTCCAGCCCCACCCAACGGACGAATCAAAAAGGATGCCTCTCAATCCTTTGCACCATAAGAAGACTTACCTATGGAGTCTACCAAGCTACCTCAAGATGTAAACCATGGTATGATTGATTCGGACATATACCCTCCAACCAATCAACATGGAACCCGACGTTCGGGAAATCGTCCTTTAAAAGGAAAAATGGTCCAAACCAGGAACCCCTGAACGTGAGGTCTCCCCAAAAAAGTCAGGTTCCGGCTATGAATTGGTGGGAAGTTACAAATTCGTCGAGCCAAGGCCACTACGCCTGACAGTAAGCTTCAGCCTCAGGTTCTGACTCGCCTGGCTTCTTGGCTTGGTCGCTGTGTTGAATGGACTGGGTCGTCTTGGTCTTCCAATTAGGTTCCTCTGTCCAGGTTTTGAGGGACTTTTAGAAGTGCGACGGCAACCCAAATGGCCATGATTTTTAAATGGGGACCCTTTGGTGGACATTGAGGTGGGGCCGCCTATTCAAATACGCCACATGGGCGAGTCTTGTCTTTGACAGCAACTTGGGGTGAAGGGGAACTAAAGGGAAACAGAAGCAAATCTTCAGCCACGACCTTTCAGACTTCGGTTTCCGAGCAGAATGGACCTGGAATGAATGGGACATGAGAATCAGGGACAAGAGCCATTCAGGTGCGGTATGCTGCTCGAATTGTCCCAATGCTAGCGCGTTTTGGATCTTCGGTTGATAAACAGCTCCAAAATAGGGGCTTCTGGCAAATCAGTGTGGAAGGGTGAGCAACCACCAAGTTTTGATCTATATGTTTGGCCTGATGCAGCCCGGAAGTTAGCACCTCTGAGCGTTCAAGAATCCAATCGACCTTATTCTAAAGACTTGGTCTGGTGGTTGTAATGGAAATAGCAATTTTGCTTCTACTCTTCAGAGGTCTCAACTAGAAACGCAAAACATCTGTTGTCAGCGCCTATCTCGTGCTCGAGAGCACAAACACTTTCCTTGTTTGCCAAGTATTGCAGATGGCCTCGCTGGGACATGGCTTTCAGTGCCTCTCAGTCTGTGCCTTGCTCTTTGCATGCAGCAAGAGCGTGCTCTTCGCTGCTGCCAGGGTGGAAGACGTCACAAGCCGACAGCACATCCTAGTGCATATCACGGATCCCCAGCCTGGCATGCTGAACATGTACACACATCCAGAAGATTGGGCAGCAGAAGAGACAATGTTCAGTAGGCTGGTGGCCAAGGCTGCAGGCCTTCGTCCGAGCCTCGTTTTTGTGGGCGGTGACATGCAGAACTGGTGGCCCAATGAAAACAGCTCGGCGGACCGCAACCGGCCACGCAAAGATATGCCCGATGAAGACTTCGAAGAGTTGAAGCGGAAGGACTTGGGAAAGTTGCAGCGAAACGCTGCTCGAAGGTCAGTGCAAACCCTTGTGAGTGCTGGCATCCCTGTTGTTTATACGGCCGGCAATCATGATGTTGGTGACTTTCCAGATGAGAGTACCCTTGCACAATATACCAGCTCGGATAGTGAGAATCCCGGCTGGGGGCCATTGTTTCAGAAGGTCAAGAAGGAGGACGGGGTCTTGTATTTGCAATTCAACTCTCAGATCTACTGGAGCACTGAAGCTTCGATGGAGACCCATCGCTCGCAACAGCTGGAGTTCCTTCACGAAGAGATGAGCAACATCGGAGATGTGAGGCAGTTGGTTCTATTGACCCACATTCCACCCTTCATGGATTCCGTGGACGAGGAGGAAGGCTGGGCCAACTGGAAAGAGCATTACCGCAAAGAGGTCTTGGATGTCTTGGCAGCGCCCAAGATCCCAATGTTGTGGATTTGCGGTCACTTCCATGCCAATGTCGTGAAGGACTCTAGCTACCAAGGCGTGCCCTTGAGCATCAGAGTTACTAGCGCAGCAGGAACCACAATGCAATGGGATGGTAAAGATGAGATGACGCCCCACGAAGCTGAGACGGTGGCGTCTAAAGCGATCATGAAAGCCTTTGCTGAAGACATCGGCTTCGCCAACATTCCGGAACGTTTGAAAGCTGAGAGCGATCGTTCCGGGCTTCGAATCTTTAAAATCTCCGCTGGCGGCTTCGAAGATCAATGGTTCACCCTCGATGACCTGGACAGCAGCCGGCAGACGCGCGAGCACCTGCCTAGCTAATTCAGATACGACGAAATCGGCCGTGGCGGAGTTTGGAAAAGAAGGGCTGCTACGCACCTTGGCTAGTTTGCGGATGAACAGTAGCGATAGCCAAGTAAGCTTGAAAGTTGTTTTCACTACAGCCGGCAAAAAGATAGCAACATGATCAGGGGCGACGGTGGCGCGGTCTATTTAAGCTCCACAAAATTCTCAGATGGATATTACCCCCTTATACTTCAGCAAAGGTCATGAAGCACCAAGCTTTTGGTATTTGAAGGGAAACGAGGCCTCCCGCATGAATGACCATGGCTAACCTTTCTTATGCGCTATTTGTTTGTTTTCCCAAATGGTAATCCCATATATATATATATATTATATATATATATATCGGACCTTTTCCTCAACCTCCACATGTTTCCTCCGGTTTGGAAGCAAGATGCTCCGAATTTCGTGACATCGGTTACGTGTGACATGTGCCGATTTCGCGCGAAAGGCCCACCCCAGGGTGGCTGTTCAACGAGATCATCCGCGATGCCGGGCACTCGAATCCCTTCTTGGTGCAAAGGCGTGGAGCACGCGGTTTTGCAAGGTACCCGCTCGAGGGTGGCTTAAACGGGTAAAAATGTTGGGGTCCCGAAATGGCTCAGTATTTAGGTGGTTTCCTGTTTCTCTTGTTTTTGAGTGGGTTTTAGTTTACCATGGCTCAGATCAGTAGAATGCGGTTGGGCGGGGGTGATACCAAATAAAATCGTCATAACATGAATGTGCTATTTGAGACCCTTATGGCATTCACAAAGTGATGTAATTTACCACAAATGGCATTATTCGAAAATTGATGAGACATGGATTCTGCGACCGCTTTCCAACCCACTGCCAAGCTGTTGCAATCCCTTCGTGGTGCGGTCAATCTGCTGAGGTTCGGAACAACCCCAAGGACCTGTCCGAGTCGCGATGCTATGCGTTGGCAAGGCAAAGCCCAGCGGGTGGCTCGCCTTTTTTGTGGGTACCCTTATTTGGTGGTTTGAAAGGGCAATCAAAAGGAAGACTGCCAACGAACACTGTTGCATTGGGTCAACCTCAGGTTTGTTGACACCCAAAAACACCACTGCGACCATTTGAAACAGACCAAGGTCCTAATTTGGACTGGGCCTCGCGGTCGACTCGATGTAGGACACCCCAGACGTGGCGGAGTACTTGATGCAGTGCGTGTGCAGCGATCAGCTGAACATTCAGCTGAAGGGCGTCCATGCCTCAAATTCAGAAAACCATAATCTGCATCCTGCCTCCCAAAAAGTATTTGAGGGCCAACAAAAAAAGACGCAACGTCCTTTTCAGCATCCAGTTCTGATTTCGAGTTTTGGCCTCAGGATTTGCGACGAAGCCTTTGCCTTTCCAAGTGCTTCTTTCACAATCTGGTCCCATGGACAGTAAGAAACGTAGGGTTCCACGGGTTCCACCTAGATGAGAGTTTTGGGGGAGACAGGGCCCAGTGGATACCCTCTAGGTATCAAAAGAAGGAAAAGTCCCCTTGCTTACCCGGTCTTCCTTTGCTTTCTACAGCCAAGAGTCTAAGAGGAGCCAAAATGTGAGTATTTGCTGCTCCTTTTGTCAGCATTGAACCTCCTTTTGTCACTTGCACATCCATGCGCGTCCATGTTTTTGGGTCTCCAGAAAGGAAGACTTGAAGAGAAATCATGAGGGAGTCTTGTGACCTTCGCTCACTCCAAGGCGAACCGACCTTTTCAACCTTTAGTTTCAACCTGATTTGGCAACCATGTTTTTCCAAGGTTCCAAAAGGTCCTTCAAATTTCTGGGTCCTTTGGGCAACTGAGTTGGTGTTGCCTCCTTACGCTCTTGGCGTGGAGAATCAATGCCTGGAAAAACAGGCACCGCTTATTCATCCGAAGGTTGGGGACAAGGAATCCACCCTCCAACTTCTGCATCACTTCCTGGTCGTGATCTGGCTATGAGTGTTAGTGGGGACCCCAAATTCTTGGTGGACAAAGCCCCACCAAAATGATGACCAAAGGGTCCCCAATTAAGATTCATACCCATCAAGAAAAAAATGAACGCTGCTTCCCTTGGGAGATGGCTCAGGTTCTGTGCATCAAGCATATCGCATCAGAGGACACGGGTTCTCGCGATTCGGCGCCCCGCGACTTTCCGCGTTTTGCGGGTGGCATTTTTAAGGTTGGACTGGACCCCCAAAAAAGCGCAATGGTGTTCCTGTTAGTTCCCTTTAAAAACAACGAGAAGGGAGACACACCCTTGTAGGCCTGAAGAATAGTGGTGACGTGGGTACCACAATTCAAGAGGTGTTTCCTCGCGTGCTTTACGCCTCGTTTTTGTTGTTGCCCCGTCCAGCGGCTCAATGAGCAGAAGGGACAGGGTTGCCCAGGATGTTCTTGGAGCCTAGAAATCCTGACCCAACCGGAAGCTCGGAGCACAAAACTCTGCTTGCTGAATCTATTGGATGTTGCATATTTTCGCGGTTTGCAAGATGATCATATTATATATTACATATATATTACATATATATATATATGTATATGATTGTTCATTGTGGCTTTCTTGTGTTCACCCGGAAGAGTTGAGCCAAAGCGGCAGGATGTGACCTTCCAGAACTACCTTTGCGCATGCCCCGGCGCCGGGCCCTTACAGCGAGGGTCTCTACTGTCGACCCGGGAATACAAGAACCTGGCAGATTTGTCGCGGGGCTGCTTCCCTTGGTGGTGTTTAACAATCCCCTTAGGTGTTTCGGTTTTTTAGGGATTGGTTGTCGGGTTTCCATTTAACCCGCTCAAAGGTACACTTTCAGCGGAGGATCTGAGGACAGCCCAGTTCCTTGAAAGAGCGCCCACGGTTCAGCAGGAAGCTAAACTCTGGGAAGCTGACCAGGTCCCTCCGTTGCAACAGCCAATGTTCCTAACCGTCCTAACCCGGGAACAGGCAGGTTCAGCAGGGTATGAATCAGTGATTGGGCGTAACGATTTGAACCCTGCTTCGTGAGTTTCAATGGGAACATGCCAAGCGCGAAACTCCCGGACCCTTTTGTCAGAAGAAGCCTAGAGGCCCCTACTCCATTGGAACCCACCGCGTTTGTTTTGGGGTTCGACATACGGGTGTTTCTTTTGAAGATACCCGTGTTTTTTTCTTAAAGAAAACAAACACCCAGAAGAAATTGATCGAAAGGCTTCTTGATGGACGATTCAGAATACGACAAGGCGCATTGGGGAATAGTCACCCAAACCCTATGTGCAGCCTGGACTCGAAAACAAGGCGAATGAGGGAGGAAGCTGTACAGGCTGACACATCATATGTCTGATTTGGGATTGGTCCATGGCTCGGAAAATCTGCCAATTTGCCAATTGATTTCAGCCACGGCGCAATTTGTGTCATTCTGACTCCTGGCTCGCTCGAGGCATTGAAGATTATGGAGGACATTGCGGCGCCTCCCATTGTTCCACAGGCCAGTGATGTGGACCGAGACCCTTTTGCAGCAGTTGGAATGGATGAAGCCCTATGAATGCTGAAATACTGGGATGCCAATTGGAATGGATGAAACCCGGAAAAAGTACTGGTTGATAAACCACCAATCCAAAGTGGTGCCGATGGATGCGGTTGGATTTGTCCAGGGAGAGTGAAACGAGGCCCCACCCAGAAACGTTCTGAAAGGCCTTTGGGGGCCCTTTGGTTTCTTCCCGAATGATTTGAGTGTGTCTTTTGCTTGGGGGCCTCCCAAAATGGCTTCGGTCTTCCTTGTGGTTTCCCTTTAAAGCCACCAAAATACGGTACCCTCAAACAAAAGCACACCCACATGAGCTACGATCAAGATGTATTGCTTCTAGAGGAGGGTGGCAAATGTTTCACACAACCAGGAGGACAAGCACTGCTGGCGCCCTAAATGGGATATGGACCGGCTTCAGTGTTCCATTCGGCGTCCATCTAAAGGAGAACAGGGGCTCCCCTTCTACACGAACTTCAGCAATCCAAGAAAGCTCCATGCCTTCTTTCAGCATACCCCAAGCTTCCCACGAAAATGCCTTTCATTTGAGGGGTCTTGGACAAATGGATGCGTGAATCTTCGCTGGGGCACCAAACGTCTTTGATTCTTCATGATCAACACATACGAGAGTTGGCGAGAGTTCCTTATTTCCAGTGTGCGAATCTGTGCGATGCAGCTTGCCCAGGCTACTTGGGGGTTGCCTCAAGATGGTTCCGTCAGTGTCCTTTTGGTTTGCCAATAAAGGACGAGCCCAAAAGCACAGCCTTAACAAGAACACGTGCACCCACGCGGGTACCCGCATTTTTCAGGCTCGGTACCCATGTTGTGGTTGGTTTAAAGGGAAGCAAACTTGATGCATACCCATATGCCGAGCATTGACGTACCTCTTGGGAGACTTCCGTTTGCTTAAGAATATGTTTTATGTTCCCTGGTGGTTTCTCACATGGAGTTTGTCACTGGACATATTTTCTCACGAGATGTCCGAAGCTGTCAGTCTTCCGGGTCCTTTGTGGCCGTCTTGGAGCCCGCATCTCCCTGTCCAGGGGATAGGCATCTGCCACTCCCAAATAATCCTTTGATTTCATTTCATGGAGATGGACATGAACCATGAGAACAAAAGTGATTTCCACTAGTTCCAAACTACCAGGGTAGACTTGGGTAACTCATGTTGATCCCAGATAAATCAACCCCAGTTTATTAATAGGGGGTGTGTTTTTGGGTTTGGTGCGCCATCATCACTTTTGGAGGGGAACACCCTCATATTAATACACCAGGGTTGATTAATCTGGGGTCAACATTACATATATATATATAAATATATACCCATTCTCCGCTGTGGTTTGAGGGAGTGGAAAGAACAGATTTAGATCTGCGAACAGGGAGCATTGCAGTGTCAGAGACACATCGTGGTGCGGCTGGTCGTTGTGACCAAATCGCCCTGGAAACAACTGGCTTTTCCATTAGGCCTACGAAATGTCCACCTTCTGCTCAGGTTGCCTATGGGTATGTGTCGGAAAACAAAAACCTTTGTGAACCCCCAAAATGGGTTGTTGTTTTTGTTGGGTGTCCCTGTAAACCAAGGTTTCCTCCATTTCCCTTGTTGGAACCTCCTAACAGTAGCAGTTTCAAGGGAAGCCACTAGTCAATTGCATCTGTTGAAAGGAGAAATCCTGTGACCCCAAGGTGGTTGCTGTGTGCCAAAGGACTTACCTCTTGGGGTTTTGCAGGGAAGCCTGCCACGGGGGAAATCTGCGGAGAGGAGCAACTGACCCCTAATCAAATCCCAAATCCAGGGACAATGATGTCTTCCATTTGCTGAAATGAAGATTTTGACTGTTGCCTTGTTTTTGTTTAAGGGGAATCAATTTTCGCTCGACATACTGTGGATGGACGAACTCCTGCGCCACTTTGAAACCATGGGAAACCACTGTTGGTATTTACAGGGGAATCATCCCTCCAGGGCCTCTTAGGTGCAGGAGTTCGTCCACAGCATTTCTATGTGTTCCACTGGATTCGCAGATGGCTTCTTGGACTCCGGCCAGGCGCGCGCCATTGAGCCGCAGGAGGTGAGAACCGTGCGAGACGCCACCAAGTCGGCCTTGGCCGGGGCCCCGTTTCGGGAAGCCGAAAGGAGGAAAAACCGAGGCAGTGCCCCGAGCTCCTGTTCGGACTTTGGCCATTTTTGGGGATGGGACCCGTTTTAGTGGTAAAACAGTCTGGCCTTTTTTTGGCCAGCCCGCTCAGGAAGTGAGCCGCAGGCATCCTAAAAAACGGCACGCCCAGTTGGCTGCGTGTTGTCACATGGTTGTGGAAAGTTCCTTTAAAAAAACACGACTGGTGGCGAACACCAAAAAAAACTGGTGGCGAACACCCAAGGTGCTGCTTGGCAAAAAGGGCCCCGAATTTGGACAAGATGCTTCCGTGCGTGTCTTTGTTGTTTGAGCCGTACTTGTTCTGGGGGGGTAACCGCTTGTGGGCAAATGGGACACCACCCACGAACCTCCAAGCCTTGCATTCCCTTTCAACATCACCTGGGTGCATCGAGCCTTCCTAAATCAGTTCCACATGGGTCTGGCTCAAAAACCGAGAGCTGGGGCAAACCGCAGGCTTTGGTCTTGTTCAGTACGCCCATGCCAAGGATTAGCCTTTGTTTCTATTTTCGTGGGCATTTTGGGCACCATGTGTTGTGCAGCCACATGAATTCCTGGCAAATGGGACACGGCCTTGTCTCAAAATAGGGGAGGACCCCCCAAAATGGTTGGCTTCCTTTTGGTGTCCCTTCAAGCCAACCGCGCCGAGCCTCAAACGACACGCCCACATGCAACAGCGACAAACAATTTATCGATCCATCCGTGAAGAAAAGCTGCTTTCAAGGGGACAAGAATAGCTTAGGCAACAGCGTCGCGCTTTGGGACGCCAACGACCATATAATCTCACTTTCTGATCTGGAAATGTGGCCGCGGGTTCCAAAGGAAGCTGCATGGAACTCCAAATCAGACCCCAATCAAAGAGGGGGAATCACCTCAGCGTTTGCCGCTTTGTGATTGAACATGACGATTTTCAAACGCGAGTTGGGTCAAAAGGCAACCCTCGTTCCCACACCTCTCCCGTGCCTCCTGGTTTGCATCATTGCCTGTTTCGGAAGTTTAATCATCACCTTTTGTGCCGATGTTGATTAGCTGTTTCTTTGCTGAGGTTACGTTTCAAGGCGACACGTGAGCAACAGGCTTCTTTGCCGGGGTATCGGTTATAGGTTGACCCCTATCGGTTTCCAGTGGTATTGTCGGTTTTTCATGCTGTTGGACTAAACCTGTGACATCCATGGATAAAACCCTATGGGATAGACAGGAAGTTGTCTAAAATCCTGAGTTCCTGGATTGGGAGCACCGCTTTAGTGGCAAACAAAAGAATTGGTTCTTTTTTGGCCGATCCATTCAGGAAGTGACCATAGTCCAGCAACACAACAGGGTTGCTCAAACGATACATCCAAAAACTACCCGCTTTACAAGGCATCGGATCCTCCAAATTGCGGCTCCCAATCAAACAGCTGGGTTACATTCGGGTTTTAGTCATCGCTTCCATCCAAGGTGCCATTCGGGGATTCCCATGTCACGAGCCTTCCGACCGCCTCTGCTTCCGCCCAAAACGGAGCCGGCGCTCTCAGGAAGCGCTCCGGACGCCTCCCAGCGTGGAGAAATCCACGGCTGGCCGGCGGCCCGGACGGGGTGACGGAGTGACTCGGGAGAATGGGTCAACATGAACACCTCCAGGAACTGGACGGCGGGTTTTAGTTCATGTTGCCACATACCGGGGCAACCCCCATTTTGGGGTTTCCCTATTTTTGACCCACAGCCGGATGAATGAATTAAGAAACTTCAACTGTGTGGTCAACGGATGTCTTCGTCGTTTGAGTCAAGGCCACAAAGGATTGAACTTGCTTTGGCCAGGCGACTGAGCAGGTCAGATTGGCCACAACATGCATGTGTCACAGAAGGGGTATATTCCCCAACTGTCAAGGCGATAGTACTTGGAATTCTTGGCCTCGATTTGGTGTCCCTTGAGCATCCACAAAATATAAGTGGCCTTGGGGGGGGGGGGGGGAATAACGTTTGTCTGGGCAAATCACATCGCAAGCGCACTTAAGTGAAATAGAATTGCGAGCCAACGGGTTCAAAAGGGACTTTCAGGCTGGCTGAGCCGAAACATGCCTGAGGTGCTTCTTTGAAAGCCAGATGCCAGGCAGGAAGGGAATCGCCTTCCAGTCAGTTGGCGAAGTGCTGATTTCACGACCTCCACAGATCTTCCGTTTGCTGCGCTTCTTTCTTTTCCCCCGTTGGGTTGGGTCTCCTTGTGGGTCTTGATTCGCGTTTGTCTGTTTTGTCTTTTTTCCCCTGGGTGAGGGTGGTGACGTGTCTTGACTGGACGCATTGCCATGTGTTACCACCATCGCCCCATGGAAATCCAGTTAGTCCTTGGGCTTCTCCGGCAGGGCTTCGGCAACTACGAGCCTCCGCCAGAGGAGACGGAATGCGACGGATGCGGCATCGCAGCAGGTACCCCTAGACCGGTGGCTTGGTTTGGATTTGGAAATGCTAAGTCCCAATCCAATCCCTGTCTTATCAAAGATTTGGACCCCCACTGGCCGGCGTTTGCCGCTGCGGTTCGTTTGATATCTTCTGTAGGCATCTGAAGGGAAAGTGTCCAATGAACCAACGGAAATTGATTTCATGGCTTCATCTGGCCCTGGTCAGTCCCAGAGCCCCACAGTCGCATGGTTTTAAAGGTCAAGCCCTGTGAGTCAAAGCCCCCCCACGCCCCCGGCCCCCGGCCCCCTTACAAAAAATAAGAAAAGATGGACAACATGGAGAGAATTGTTTTTTCTTAGGTGTCCCCGGCTCCAGAGTGGGCAACTCTCGAGTTCACCTATGAGCGAACAACACACCCATGGTTCGGTGCGCGATCGGAGGCTTGTGGAAGATGAAACGCATCCTTGTGAAAAGGACCCCCGATACGCCAATCACCGCCCTTAAACAATCTGTCAGAAATTGGATAGCGCCCCAAAATTACAAGGAGCCACAATCAAAACCCGGGTGGATTAAGGCTAAAGCGTCCCAATCACAAATAAGTGCGACCTTTTAGTACCAGCGTGTTGATTGTGACTCAGGCGACTTGTCTTTTTTGAGGATCCGCTGGGTTCACTTTCCAGCACCCAGTCTGACAAGGCGACAGCTTTTTCAATTCCTTCCTGGGCGGTCGGATCCAATTCCCCTTGCATCCAAGGGGCACCTGGTTTACAGACCAGCTTTGGTTTCCTCAAAGGCACAGTTCGCATCTTGCATCTTTTCCAGTGTCTAGTGCTTCCTGCAGGACTATATTGCATCCCCAAGTGGACCTTGATGTAAAACACACTTCTCAAGAGGCCAGTTCAATCTCGTCCCCAAATCAGCGCCCCCCCAAAAAAAAATGAAGAAGAAAAGAACAGGCACCAGCATGGTGTTAGAGTTCCTGGAAGTTCCGTTCCGCATATTGTTCGGGAAGACCATTGTTCACGAGAAGTTCAGAATATGTTGGCCACTCAGGTTGCAGTTGCTTTCTCCCAAGATGTGAGCACCATCCAAGCGCGCTTTTCCAGACTCCAGATGTGTGTCAAAATCGGGGTACCCCCAAAATCGTGGCACCGTCGGTCTCCCGTTATTCCAAGTTGAAAAGGGTACCCTCTGCAAAAGCCATACCCATGAAAGATTGATTTATTCGCCTTTTGTTCGGCTTATACCCCTTACGCGGAGGTCAAACGACACGCACTTGTTTTAATGTCCCAGCTGTCGCCGGATCCAGGAGGAGCCAACAAAGAAAGCCGGGGTCGCTGGCCAGGCCGTGGGCGAGTTCTGAGTGGGATTTGTTTTGTGCAGGTTGAATCTTCTTTTGGTTTCATGGGAAGACCACAATGACTCGCTTCCTGACTTCCTGGACTTTAGTCACTTTTGGGGCTTCGGCTATGTTAGTGGCACATAAGAAATGTTTTTTTGTTGGGCCATCCACTCACAAGGTAAGACAAGGGTACCACCCCTTAAAAAAGTGCCTCATTTTGAGAGAAACCCACATGGCAAAAGCTGGTCGCACGATTGGCTTAAGCAACCACACCCTGGTACCCCGTAAAGAGGAGCCCAGATAAGATTGTGTAAACAATGTGTGTTTACTCATATTGGAAACAGGAGGTTGGCCAACCTGGTCAACAAAAAATGGCGGGGATTTCTATTCAGGGTACCATGACCATGGCCCGCACGAGCAGTTTCACCATGGCACATGTGGAGATGGGGTGCAAGACTAAGCATATGTGAGATGTTTAAGGGGTATATCCATATACAGATATACTTAAATCACAACCTGGACACGTAACACGTGAGCCAATCAAAAAACCTGGTTAGAAGTTTAGAAGGTAGCTAAATTAAGTTTGGAAAGCTTGGCATATCACTTTGAAGAGTTAGAGTCCTTCATGGAGGGAGTGACACAAGCTCCCTGACCGCCAAATACTAATCATATCCAACATAATTGTATGTTTGTTTGGGTTCAGCGAGGCATTTTCAAAGATTTGCGTGGAAAGAAAGGGGACTAAATTTCTAAGAACAAATCCTTTTGGCCAGGCGGGTACGAAGATCAGCAAGCCGTTCGGGGTCATATACCCTGGGGTATTTAAAAGGGGCATGTACCCAACACCCCTAAAGATGAGCTGGAGACTTCAGACAATTCAAAAAAGGCGAGCATAGAAACCACTGGCATCATCTAAGTGACATCCTTGAAACATTCCCTGTTAAGGGCATCAACCGCAGAAGTGGATTTGACGTATTTACTTTAATGTTTCCAGCCAAACGGAGGTGCGCAGATGTTGGAAGGTTTTCTGCGGCAAGTGAGTTCGGGATTCCCACGTGTTGGCCTGCCTCGATGGGCTCTGAAAGTTGCCAAGGTTGCTGCGAAATCTGAATTTGGAGCCCCAAAGCGGGGCACTTCTCGTAGGCTTACTTTGTCATGCAGCCCGCGGGTAGCCTCACTCCCCATGTTTCTATGATACCTTTTATCCATGACAATGGATTTGGTTGTTTTGTGCACGTCCACTCGGGAAGCGAAGAGCTCCAAACGCTCACAGCTTTCAGAAGACTTAGCTCGGAGGCTGCGGACTTTGTGGCCGACTCCATTGGACGCTTGGCCAGCGATTTGAGCCAAGCTGTTGGCACGTTTACTTGCTGGTGCGATAGGGAATGACCCAGACCGGGTGTTGGAAATGAACCTGGGGATTCCAGGATACTGGAAACCTAAGGAATGGTTTAAAGGATCATTCCCTCATTCCCTGCGAAAAAGTGCTTTGCAAGCCCGTACCAAGAGTTATAAAGTTTCCCAAAACCCAGGGGCCGCATTTCTACGGCAGCAAGCGTGAAAGGGGTCATTTCCAAAGCCTGTCCACTGGGATTCGGGCAGTTGCGACTGGTTTGGGTATAAAAAACATCTCAGTTCTTAAATGGGAATCTCGTATGTTCCTTCTTTGGGAAGTTTGAATCACCAGGTTGTCAATGTCTGATAAGTGCTCAGAATTCGGCTGTGGGGGTGATGTTAAAAGTGGACCTGCTAGAAACCCTTCCGTGCACTCGACCCTTAAGATGATCCAATCTCCTATTTGGTGAAGGCTGTCCTTCGGTTTCCTTTGCCATGCGTCCCCGGTCTAAATTCCGAGGATTTGATCAGTCCATGTGTACTTCGTATCCCGAAAGGGATCCAATCGACTTTTGGGTCCTGAAAACCTGGGTCTCCGTGGGGTTGCCCATGGGTTTCATGGGCTCTCCATTGCCCATGGGCAAGCCGTTTTCGGTTGATTTCCAAGTTTACACCAGCCGCACTTCTGCGCCCCACGTGTTTGGGCTTGCTTGGGGCTTGGCCCGGAATCTTGCAATGGACCTGGAACAAACTGGTTGAAGAAGCAGTCGATGCATCAAGAAAACGGCCCCAGCTCCAGTCACGTTTAGCATGAACCGGGACTCGGCGGTCTCAGCCGACGATTTTCTGTTGCCTTCCGTGGCACACTTGTCTGCCATTCACCCTCTCGCGGCTTGAAAACAAAAACCCGTTGGAAACCTTGAAGGAGCCTGTCCATAGTGGGTAAGGCAAGCCTGGATGGGATTGGGTTGCTAGAAGGTCAGGGACCTGTGATGGGGTGTTGTGCCGTGAAAGGCAGATGATTTCTAGCCAGGAGCATGGCAAATATGGCAAGTATTGCAAATACTATTATGGCTCTATGACTCTATGACTCTTTGACCCTACGACTCTGCTCTTTGGCTCCTTGCCACAGCCTTTTGTGCCAGGTGGGGAGTTTGGCCACAAGCGCTCAGAGGGCCATGGGTCCCCAAATCATCCCCGTGGCTCGGCTCCCTCCCAAAGAGGCTGCACAAGTAAGACGGAGCTTCTTTTTCCACTTCACTGTTGTTGGCGTGGTTTTAGGTGTTCTTTTGTCTGTCTTTTGTTTAATTCAGTTTTAGTAAATGCTGCAACAAACCGTCACTTTGTTGCTATAAAACCAAGGGCTGGAAAGCCCATTTAAACCCACCTGAAACGTTTTCTCAAACCAAAAACGCATTTTTTGTACGGCTTGCGCCGCTTTTTTCCCTTTTTCTTCTGAGGCGATATGGTGGACGACTTTAGAGAGAAGGGCGCCGTGGGCGCGCTAAAGGCCCGCGCCTTAGCCACCTTCTCCCCCGGCCTTAAAAGCCCGAGGGTTCCTGTCCGAAAGAATGGCCATGCGCCTTTTCAGTGATGAAGCTCCTGAAGGGCAAAAGATGGTGACGCTAAGGAGTGTCATCATTGAAAAGTTCAAATGTTGAAAATATTGGCAGTGGTTGTGCTATCATCATGGTTGTATCTCAATGTATTAGCCCAGTTGTTTTAGTAGTTTGCCTTCCATGCTAAGGTGATCCTGCCACCTGGGAACTGAAGACAGGATTGTCCCATGTCAGAGAGTTTGTAACCATTGGTGATTCTTTCGATCGGTTACGTCACAAGATGTTTGCTATTTAGGGAGACGCACATGTTGGCAGGTGAGCGCATGAAGCACATTAATCTCCCTGCAGTCTGGCTGGATCTAATTCGCTCCTGAATCACCGGCAGTTGCCCTTCAATATCATGCACAAAGGGCAGACCGTGTTGTTCATGGGCAACCGCTGGACAAGAAAGTCATAGTGGGGGTCAAAGACCTACAAACATGTTGCTCCTTGCATCATTGCAGTACCACCTCCCCTTTCTAATTGTTCAGCCCCTCATGGTATTGTTTTTTTTCATATTGTGGACTTTCAGCTTTTCGTTTGCCAGCTGAAGTGAACAAGATACTTGGACGCCTCAAAATGATCGGGTTGAGTGCTTCCCTATCTCCCTTAAACCCAGCCCATCCCCCAAGGGCACCCTCCCAAAATGGTTGGCGTTCCGTTAGTTTTCCTTTGCTTGGCGATTCCCAGCCATCCGGTTCCTTAGGTTATTAATTGTTGTTTGGACAGCAGATCAGAAAACGGGGCCAGCCCCTTTGGGCTTCAGCCCCTCCTTTGCCCCAAAGGACGCGACCATCGACGCCCTGGACCTGGTCTTGGACGGCGTTGACACCATCTGGGGCTGGGTGGCCGGTTCAAAGGAGGCGAGGGTCGACCCGCCGGTTGCCGCCTGGAGCCCTCTCAGCTTTTTAAGTTTTTGTGGGGGATGGGTTTCTTCAATATCAAAAGGCCCACCAAATAAAAACAGGTGATCACCCTGAATAAAAATGCCGCCCATATCCACACAGAAGGATCCCGTGAAACATCATGCGCACAAGTGAGCCACAGGCAAAAGTCGTGAAGAAGTGAAGCTCAGGGGACCGGCAACCCGAGATCGGTGCAGCTCGATGGCTTCATGGCAACCATTTCACTTGGCGGTTCCCAGCCATCCGCTTCCTTAGGTGTTTAGCTTTTTAGTTGGTTTAGCGGTTGGGTTTCCATTTAACCCGTTCAAGCTCAAACTTTTGGCGGGACAGCCCGGTTGAAGATCAGGTTGTGAATAGCCTGCTCGAATGGTGCTTTGCCACCTCCTAAGGATTTGCTCACTTCCCGAGTTCATGGACTTCAGTTTTTTGGGGGAAGACCATTTTAGTGGAAAATTGAGCGCGGCGCAAGCCTCTGAGAGGATTGCTGTGGGGACTGTTGCTACTTTTCCCCGGTCGTCAGCGCTCTGTGGGGATTGGCTGGTCGGTGTGCCCTCTCTGGTCGCAGCGCAACCTGCTGTGGGGATCTGCGTGGCCGCGTGCCCGAGAACTTGCTCAGAGAGTTGGTCAGTTTTGCTTTCGGGCCACCCGTCTCAAGTAGTGCTTTGGTTTTACCAGCAAGGCTGCTACGTTCAAGCCCGCAAAAGTGCGACCTGTTCGTGGGGTGATTTGGATTGCCTTGTGGGGACTTGCTGGGGTAGGGGGGGGGCCAAATATTGCAAAGCAAGGGGCCAAGTTGGCCCTTCGATTCAAGCTACCGCACTTGACTTGAAGGGAACAGGACTTGAATACCCGACGATATTGTCACCAAGATCGATAGGGGCTGAATTACCCCAAACCAATATCGATCAGCCCGCAAAACCAACAAGGGTCGACCAAAAACCGACGCCCTGGCTTGGGGCTAGAACCGACTAGTCAGTGTTCGCACCATCGTCACTGGGCAAACCTGCAACTCAGTATGCAACCCCTTCAGGCGATCCCCTACAAGGAGCTGCCTCTCAGATCGAACTTTTGAGGGGGGGCCCAACTTCATCCCACAAATGGATGTTTAAGCCTTGTACGCCGCAAATGCCAGACCGACCAGCCGCGGATTTGCCAACCTACGAACCAGCCTCAAATGCCGTTGCCTCAGCATTCGGGAATGGACTGGGCCTTGCGCGCAATCCGAACCTACTAGCCTAGGGCCAACATGAGGTCGCCCACGACGAATGTCCGCGTCTGGGGGATTCCCTTACTTTGTTTGCTCGGCATGCCGGGCTCGCAGCTGCCCTTCAGCTTCGCGGATAATGGAGGCTGCCGCCTGCCCACCCCTCCCCTTGGGCATCAGAAGCATTCACAGGAGGAAGGTTGAATATTTTGGTGTTAACTCTCGGGTGCGTTCCACGTGTCCGTTGCGGTGGAGAAAAACCAGGCTTCCGAGATTCACGCCGGCATACCAATAATCTGGCCTTAGTCTTAGAAGTGTTTTCCTCGACTGCAACGGACACTCTGTACACCCAAGACGGGCCAGTGAGCCCAACTCCGACCCAAGACTTCTTGGCCTACAGCCAGGGTCAAGGACCAGGCCCAGCCCCAAATGAAACCTGGCGTTTCAGCGCAGCCTTTCCCAATTTGGGAAAACCAAACTTTGCGCGGGTCCATTATGAGAGCCGCTATGCGGCTCGCATGAATTGCTTTGCGGAGCCTCTGTCCTGTGTAAAGTGCTGAGGCAGTGGTAGCGAAAAACCGAGTTTTCCTTTTTTTGAGGAGAATGGTCTGGAGCTTTGGCTGCGATTTCCGTCTGCCATCATTTAGGAATCGGGAAGTAAAATAGCTTTAGGGGGAAACTGGGCCAATGCTGAGTCCCCAAAGCGCCTGGGGCGCCATGTTTTTCTGGGGCGCCATGTTGATCGAACCTAGAGACCCTGCGTCCCTGTCAAGTGTGGCGACATCCCTGCTCACTTCCACAAAAAAAAAAGTGTCCACAGAAAACAGGCTTTTGGGTCAGGCTGCAGCGCGCTGTTGGCCCCACAAACCGCATGTGGACGAACTAAGTACAGTACGATATCTCGATTTTTCGATGCGTGCGTGGAAGCAGCATGTATCCGTGTGTATATTATATATATATACATATGAAGCGCGGTCATAATTTACGGAAAAGGAAAGTAGTCTACACTTGGACATCCACATAGCTCAAGGTGCTTGAAGCCATGGAAAACGATAGGGGACTCTCAAAAAAACCATACCTTTGTGCTACAGACCAAACGTTGGAAAACGATAGGGGACTCTCTAAATTCGAACGTACTTACTGTGAACAACAAATTTTGACGGAACTTCATATATACATATATGTGTGTATCTTGAAGCTTTTCAGATCTGTTCACAAATTGGCTATCGTTCATGCATTCATCATGCCAACTTGGGTTCGCATAACAAGCCACTTACCAAATGACAAGGATGAGTTTCCTTGCCATGACGCAGCGCACGCCCGAACCCAGGCCAGGACAGTTCCAAGCGGCTGGGTGCAGACCCCAGGTTCAGACAGAGGCGCAAACAAGCGGGCCCCCTTAAAGCAAACACTTTCAGGAGTTCTCAAAAGTTGTTTTGGTTTTTGCGTCTTTCAAACCCCCATTTAGAGAATGTCACTTGAGTCCGGCACCTTAGAACACTGATACATGGCCGCTTTCAACTTATTTGAAGCATGCTTGACTTGGGAATGTGTGAGTTCCAGGGACCCCCTCCCCTTTTCAGGCCATTCTCAAATGCAACTAGGCGGATTGGTCCTGTCACTTTAGAGGGAAGGTGACTAAAGAAGGGTAACAATTGTAAAGCCGTGACTTAAACCCTCTTGTGCCGTGGAGTTGTGTGTGAACCTGTGAACTAGACACACACTCATGTCGAAATCCGAGCTCGCCTTCTCGACATGCCCATGTGTTCGAGAGGACACCTCTCACAGTGTCTCCTCAATGGCCAATAGCTCAGGGATAGTCTTTGACCCACAAGGGTGGCCCAAGTGTGCCAGTCAAAGCCAAATTCCAGGCCCACTGAAACCAGCTGACAACTTGCGACCATATCCAAGGTCCTCCGGGTACTCGGGCGGACAGCAGCCAACCTGGCAAGTTGCTCCGAAACGCAAAAGCCGAGCCTAGGAGCTTCCCTGGTACTCGTCCATGTGCTGAAATGAAATTCGTATTTCCCCTGTGGGTTTTAAAGGGAGACGATTTTGCTACTGGAAGTCTGTTCTGACGTTTTCCAGGACACTTAGGCAAACAAAGGACCGGCTGGAAACAAATGCCTTTGCAAGTTACGAGAGGCGATCGACCTTATGCTGGTTCGGGGCGGAAGAGCAATGCAGGTATCCGTCAAAGTTTAGGGACCTTCAACTTTTCCATGCGAATTGTGTGCGGATGTTACCCATCAAGATTGAGAGCCACTTGGTTCAAGTGTCGGGGACAGTCTCCTGGGTGTGGTAGCACGTGTTGTGTTCTTTGGACAAGCCAGGATACCCTCAGCTGATTCCCTAGCGTCCCTGCTTTGCTCCTACCTGATGGCTTCCATGGAAGCGCATCTCACATTTCGATTGACAAGGGCACGCACTAGAATTCGTAACAGGTTCAAACATGGACATCTGCGAAATTCAGAATCTGTGACCCTGACTTTGTTGAGGGCCTAGCAAGCGCTTGAGATCCCTCTTAAAGTCTTAGTTTGACTCTGTGAATTGGTCAGATGGCATGGCTAAGTTTCCCACATAGCCACGAGGGTGCAAAGCTATGCCGGCAAATGCTTGCTGAATGAGTGAGTGGCTTGAAAAGCTGCGGCGGTTTCTGGGACAAGAAACTTTGGTCTGACAGCAACACTGACAGTCTTAACGAGGAGGTGTCCGGGATGCTCAGAGTCTCACACTCTTAACCAATGATTCTTGTATAGTGGCCCCGCCCTACATGTCACTTCCCAGACCCAGGAAACAAGATATTTACACCAATGAAGTTTGAGTTGCCGGTGCTAATATTGTCGGGCTTTCAGCTGGATGAGCGTTTGGGAGAAGCAGCCTGCGGAAAAATCAAAAAAAAAACAAGATTGAAGCCAAGCAGGTGTGCCTTTTTTGGAGGGGACCCTTCTTTTGGTTGTTGTACAGGGAAACCGCACGTTCAGTTTGCGACAGCCCCAAACACGTGGATCAGTTTGAGCAAAGCCACTTGTGCCCATTGCACGTTTCGTACGAGGAAAGGTTCATGGACATCTTCCTATTCTTAAATTCCTGTAAGCCTCGAGCCGGAAAGCCACAAGTCACTCGCTCACAGCTCATGAACTTATGTTGTTGGGAAGACCATTGTGGCGGAACACAAAAAGTGTGGACTTGTTCTGAATCATCCACTCAGGAAGTGAGTTTGCAACCAATCCCAAAAAAGGGATCCCTTCAAATAGACACCGGTGATCGCCTAGTGGGCAAGTTATTTGTTGGTATGATGTTGGCGGAAACCAGTTGGAAACCACCTGCAGGAATAGGTCTCCAAGTTTGAGGAAGACCTGGGCCTAAAAACTTGCTGAATAATGTGGAAACTACACTCATGCCAGCATGACAAGTTGGCCAGCATGACACATTGGCAGATAAGGCCCTTGCACAGGTTGATTGGGTGCAGCGGAGGTTTCACGTAAAACACTTGGATGGCGAAAGGAATGAAGTAGGAGGAGGAGGCTGTAACATGACAAACCATCTCCTGCAAGCCAAACAAACTCCTCCGATAGGATGCCGCAGGCGCAAATTCTTTTCTGAAGGTGGTGTTCTTGTCCAGTTTCTTATGGGTAGCGCGCCTGCGCTTGTCAGAGCACTGCGCGATTCTCAATCTTTATGTCGTTGAAGGCAATGGCAACTTGTCTCTAAAATGGGTATGGTTGGTTGCCCTTTGTTCCTCCAACCAAAAGTGGGTTCCCAAAAAACACACCCAACTGTTTGCAATCTTTCTACCCCGAAGCGTTGAATTGTGGCTTAGCTCGGCACCTTTCACTGAGTGAACCCACAGGGAGGGATGACACGTAGCACGGGACGTGACACCAAGGACAGAATGTCGACCTTGATTGAAATAGAAGTAGAACCTGGCGAATATCTGAATGGGCGGGAAACCCTGGACGGTGAGTTGAAATCCCTCCAAATTGGGACCCTGACCTGAATCGGGAGGGCTTATGAATTGATGTCCAGCGTTGATTGAGTTCGAAGACCTAGCATGAGAACCAGCTTGATTCGTTTGAGAGTGTCATCTTGTTCAGAGCTAGTCAACCCTTGGCCGCAATGTACATATCACATAAATTTGCCTTCAGGTAGAAAGGCCAAGTTTTGGGCCACCCTTCAATGAGTTCACCTTCAAGATCTTCAAGTCCTGAACAGTCCGTATTGTCCAATCTTCCCCCTATGTTCTTAAAGCAGTCCTAGAAAGCTCCATCGAGTTTAGCTCAGGTCACATCCACTGCGAACTTGAAGTCACGAGCGAGACCCGGTGCCAGGTTCCAAGCGCCGGCCGCGCCCAAGACGTCGGCGTCGGGAGCCAAGAGAAGAGGCGAGCTAAAGCACAGCCAAGAAGCAGCTGGCGGTTTTTTTTGTCGCTAAAGCCCCCCCGCAAAAAAAATAATCGTGGGGTTCCTTAGGTGTTCCAATAAAAAGAACACACCTCCAGCTCAGCGGTGCACAGGCCAAGGGTTCCACGACGCCTGAAGATGTGGAGTTTGCGCGAGGTGCGTTGAACAAACCTCGCACAAAATGCTCTTTGACATCTCTGGCTTCAGATTCAAAGCTTAGCCCCAAAGCAACGGTTGAAGTTTGGCTGCCGTGACTGGCCTGGGATGATGGCCCATTTTACCACAAAACAATGAGTGAACGCACAAATGTGTGTTTTCTAAGCACCAACCAGGCAGGTTCATCCTGCGGGCCTTGTCTTTCAGCACCGTAAAGACCCAAGTCTGTCGTTGGGCAACTGGTGCGCAAGTCCTTATCTGTTTTGACCATGCATTCCCTTCAGATAAAGCACATGACAAAGATTCCTGGGGCGAAATTGAGCAGCACATCTTCTTGTTTCCACTCTTACCCAACGCCCGCGGTTTCCTTTTGCTGGGTTTTCCTTCAAAGTCAAGCAGCAAAGTGTTCCTTGTGATGTGGACATGTGCAAACTTGCAAGTTCCCCCATGTTCAACTCATTGGTTGCAAGTGTGTGTGTGTGTGTGTGTTTTTGTTTGGCTCATTTATTGGCAATCGATACTTTGAGTCTTTTGAGTTTAGAGACGAGTCGGGCCCGAAGCCGCGGGTTCGCTGGAACGACACCGAGGAACCACTATGCCGCTGCCTTCGGGGGCGGCGTGGTGGGTGCGGAGCTCGAGGCATAGCCGGCCAGTGGATGTCTCTATGGGTTCCACCCCCAGGATCTGCAGCCACTATACAGCCACCATGTAAATGGTATATTTCCCATTAAACGCGTGGGGGTACTGGTTTGGGGTAGTGGAACCCATCCTAGATGAGAGTGTCACAAGAACATGTCACAATTGAAGCAACAAGTTAAGACAATGTGTATTCTTTGGCCGAATATATCGACCCTAGACCCCATCCGTCAAGGTTTGTTTCGGATCTGGACATTGCAGGTGTCGCATTCCGCCGGGATTTGTTTGAGTTCAATCGGAACTGAGCGCCCAAATTGTTTGTCAGCAAGATCTGGCCGTTCAGACCTACCAGGCATCATGAGCTTAGAACGGAACCGAGTCTGTGCGAGCGACTTGGATCTGATCTTTGCTCGCCAAAAAAACGCTGGCGCAGTTTAAGTGATGGAGGGGCAAAAGCTGAAGGTGGTTCCTTGGGGGGTTCCCTATTTTCCGATTATAGCAATATGTATATATATATACACACATATGCGGCTACCGGACACGGAGGCTTCTGCCAAGATGGAAAAATGGAAAGATTTGCGGATTATAGCGATTTGCCTAGAGTCACGGATGTTTGATTGCCAGATCCGACACGCTATCCCACCCCCTCCGCCACCATTGGCACTTCGCGGCGTTGGTTCACAGGGCACGTATTCTGCGCCGTTTGGGATTTTAATTCACCTTGTGTTTGGATGTTGGGTGTCCCAGGGATGCGATCCGAACTCTAAAAATGTATGTACAGCAACGCAAGCCCTTGATACCTTGTCAGTGGTATCTTCAAAATGTTCCAACCTTTCGACAGTCGGGGGAAGAAGTATTGCAAGTTGTCTTCACTGTTGTTGCAGCTTGTTAGATCTTTAGGGTTCTTTCGTTCTGCTCATTTATAACGGGGGGTCGCAAAAAAAGTGTTTCCAAGCCGATACCAAGGGTTGTAAAGCTTTGTCTCAAATGCAAAGATTCGTTAACATCTGAAGCACCACCGGCACGCCCATGGCATGGTTTACACCACAGAAACATTCTACATGAAGATCCTGTTATGACCATGGTACGTCAAAATAGGGCTCCTCAAAGTGGATGTTGGTTTTTCGTTTGGTTTCCCAACACCAACACGAAGTTTCAGAGTACTCAGCAAGGCCGGGGCCCCATGTACGTTGCCCAACTGACTGCTTGACTGCTAGGAAAAGAAGTGAAGGGGAGCCTTCGGCTCCTTCCAGTGTGCAGACTTACCATGAGTTTTAGTGTAACACTTAGCGCGTATTTAAGGAAACACACGTACAGACGCACACACAGCCTCAAATGGGGGACAAAACCACGGGGCATGTGCTCCCTGCGGCTTCCGGCAAATATATATGCTGACTGGTCAATGCAGACCTCTAGCTGCATAACGTCTTGCGGCTTTGGCCTTGGGGGCAACTCGAGTTTTGGGATTATGCATGTTGAGCTGGTGGGACACACACACACACACCCAGGCGCCTGAACTCCGGGTTAGCATATCTCTGCAGGGTTTGGCAAATGAATCCCCGTGGTTGGTGTCCTTTGAGCGTCCCGTTATCCGCCAAAAGGGGTTCCCGCAAAATGGACACACCCATCAGCACCCACCAAGAGCCGTTTTTTGGACAGTACTTGGGATTGAGGACATGGAAAGAAGCAGTTGTTGGGGCTGGCATGTTGCAGTTTTCTGCAGCCTCCTTCAAACTGAGGTGCGAACAACCCGGTGATGGTGGGTGGCTTGCCAAATGGCCAGCCCAGCCAGCCTTGCGCTCGGACAATGACTCAGCGAGTTAGTGGAAGCTTTCCGAATGGGGTTCGCCTTAAAGCCGAACCAACTCACGGACATAGTTCCTTGTGATTATCATGATGTGTTTGACATCTTTCCCATGGGGAGTATGACACCGAGTGTGACACCGAGTATCGGTTTGCCCCAGATCCTTGCGCAAGCCAGCATGCAACGTGCCGTGGTTTTGGGTGTCTCTCTTCTTTTTTTGGAGGCCCTTTTGGTTCATATTCAAAGCCAAAAAGGAAACGGGCCGTGTTTTCAGGGGCATGTTGAGGCAACGCCCATTTAGTTGGGGTCGGATTAAAAGACTAAGGCAGAATCCATCCTGCTTGGGGGCGTCACCCGCCCCACACAAAAGTGATATCCGGATTCCCTGGAAGGCGGATTTTTTTCCCCACCCCCTGGGGTCTATAAACGTAAATCTGAAGCACAGCACCATTGACGTTTGGGCACTTTGGCATCTGACCCCCCCCAAAAAAAAAAAAAACAGAGAAACAACAACAATCAGCGTTTTTCTCTTTCGTTTCCCTTTAAGCCAACCCTGAAAACTGGACTATGAGATCCTTCCGAGGCCGGCGAGCTACCAGAGCTACACCGGCGCGGCTACGAGCCCGGCGCCGGCGGCTTCTCCGCGGCCTGGCCAGACTGGGTTCACCGAAGGTGTCCGGACAGGTGACTGCCTGGCTTTTGGGTGAGTCACGTTCCAAACCTGGGCAGAAGGTTAGTCAGGGAGAACAGGTGAGTCACATTCAAAACTCGGGCAGAAGGTTAGTCAGGGATAGTTTCAACCATAATCTTTATGGGAGCGGATATCCGCCAAAGTAACTTCCTTACATGGTTCTAATAGGTGTTGATGATGACTCCAGCGGTTGTAGATGCTTGGGGTTTCAGCATCCAGGGCTTGTTTGCTGGCTGATTTGTCAAGAATGTTGAGACCAGCCAAATGACCATCGAAGAAGCCTTGAGAGGGTGTGTTTGTTTATGTTGGTACCATTCTTGCCTTGGTTTGTTCAGGGAGACAGGAGAACCATGTTGCAAGCACAAAGCTTCTTGGGCGTGATGGCTATGGACGGGCAGATGACAGAATGTTCCCCTTGTTCCCTGCCATATTTGGGCGTGTCTTCTTGAGGTTACCATGTTCACCTTGGTTTAAAGGGAATGCAAAAGGGGACCATTTTCGTGTACGGTTAGGTGAAAGATGGCCCAGCCCCCAATTGTTGTTGAGGCAGTACCTGTGCCTACGTCGAATTGTGCCATCCGTTACCCGGGTGGTGGTTAAATCATCCACGAACTAAAATCCAGGCAGCCCTGAGTTTGGACACCAAGATCAAGGGCCGGCGTAGCTGGGGTTTGGCAACCAGCACCTTACATCAAGATTTGGGTCACCTTTGGGTCTGTCTTTCTTTGGCGGCAAACCAAGAGAAAAACCAACATTTTGGAGGGACCGGTTCCCTAAGAACAAGACATGCGCATTTTGCCCCTGTCAGTGTTTACACCTTTGTCGCTTTCAACCAGCCAGTTAACTATCCGAGGGCGACATTAAAGAGAAGTGTTTTTGGAGATGCCCTATTGGGGTTGGCTCAAAAGGGCTAACCCAGAAACTGACCGTTTTGGCCCCTTTGAGACAAACCCAAGTCTTGAAGGTAGACTTGAGATTCTTCATTACACAAACTCGGATCGTTGGCACTTCTCAAGTTCGAACACGGGGGGCCAATGTTATTACATTCCACTCCAAGGCGAGAGCATCAGGGGGTGACAACGGCTTAAAAGGTCCAGGGTTGTCAAAAATAGTGATCGACAAGTTGCCAGTGTTTCCGCACTATTGTTTTCCTTGTTGCAAGGAGTCAGTTCAACGAACCCAGCTGGTGTCATGTTGTGCAACCTTTCAAGGGTGTCGAACTCGCCCACCCCCTCGCCCCAAGAGATATTGTTTTTAGATGATTCGAGGGAACACCCTGCGCTCTGTGTGGTTCTCAAGCAGACGGACCGCTACTTGCGACCCGCCTGCTTGTTATTGGAGAAACCACCTCATGCTAGCAGGAAAATTATCATTGTGTCGCTCGAACTACGCAACTCTGCAGAAGAGACACGTATCATGACAAAGACCCACTCCCAGGCGCAAAGAATTTGAAGCGACCTTTATGATGTTAATAAAGGTGTACCCAGTATATAGAGCACCCCTGCGTGGCGTTGCCTTGGCAGGAGAGGCTGCAGCAGTCGCAATGTAAATGATAAAGTCGGATTCAATTCAGGCATGTTTAGTGCGTCACTGGCGATGAGTTGGGTCGACTGCACTGGGTTCCAAAGGGGCTGAAATGATTACAGGGGCATTACCCGACTCCATGCTTTTTCGCAGTTGCCAGAAGAAGCCTTGCCAAAAAGCACCCAAAACAGTCCAAGCAAGATTAATCGCTTTAACTCACTCCCTAAGTGCATGGACTTGAAACTGTTTGGGTTCGGACCATATTAGCGGGGGAAAGATGGCTATGTTTTTTGCCGGTCCACTCGATCGGAACGGAGCTAAGCCTATGGTTTCCACGTGAGGAGAAAAGCTTTGGCGACGGCTCGCCGCTTGCGAGGCCCGAAGAGCCCAAGCCGAAGCCCGTGGTGGACCTTTTGCCGGGCCCGCGAGTGCGGAGAGGAGTGAGACGGTAGCTATGTGGCTGGATCTTTTGGACTTCAACTTGGTGACGGAACTTGGGACTTTCAACTGGGAAATGACGGATTTGTGTCCAGAGGGGGCCCACAAAAAGTGAAACACTTTTTGCAGAGGGGTCGTTTGAGCAGAGATGCTGAAGGGGAATTAGCTCCCAGTCGATCCGACAGTAGCCAGTTATCCCTTTAGTCTTAAAAGTTAAAGGGTGCACTGCGACTGGAAAATAGAATCACTCGAGCGCATTGGTCATGTCAGAAGGAGTTGGGCACCGCAAGTGTCCATCATTCCCCTGGGGCCATTATTTGGCCTGTTTTTAGGGGTTATCAAAGTCAGAAATTGGGGTTGCTTCCCTTTAACCTACCACTTGGGGAGTGACTTTGACAATGGCGAAATATTGGGGCCAGTTCCCGGTGCTTGTTTCAACGTCCACTTTTAAAGTTGGGGCAACGTGGGTCCAGGGAAGCCGTGCTAAGGTCCATGGATGAGCCGAAGGCTCCGGAGTCCGCAGCACAGGCGCCTCACGCCTTTCGGGGAAGATGGTCGCTTGGTTGCCATGGCTCGTCTTTTTTGGAGTTGGTACCACCAAAAATGCTGGTTTTCCTCTGGGCATCCCTGTAAAGCCACCCAAAAGGGGTACCAAGTCCAAAAAAGACGAGCCATATCTGTGGCCAGAAGCCAAGTGTTCAGCTTTGGGGCGACTTCCGCGGAGAATGGCAAAGAGTCTTGTCCTACAGGAGAACTTCAGGGAGCTTGCGCACAGAAATTGGCACAGAGAGAACTTGCACACGGAAGCTTGCTCACAGAACTTGAGCAGAAAAGAACTGCAGAGAGAAACTTGCACAGATATCTTGCTCGGAGAGCTTGCTCAAAGAACTTGCGCAACGATACTTTGACGAAAAACTTGCACAGGGAAACTTGCAGTATTTGCTTAGAGAAGTTGTGCACAGACGACTTGCACAAAGAATTGCACACGACGTGGGCTTCGGTGAACAAAGGCACGTGACGTTTGTTCTGGCAGGGCTATGCTTTTTGGCCGCCCAGTCAGGCAAGAACCATGCGGAAAAAAGCGGAGCTCCCCCCAATTTACGAAATGTCCAGCCAGGCTAAATCAGTTCCCGTGTTCACAGTTCAGTTCCCCTGACAATCAACCAACCAAAAGTGTTTCATGATCCAGACAGCGTTTTCTTTTTGTTCCTGGGTTTCTGGGGATCGGGACGCGCGGGAACCTGACAACATTGGTGCTTGCAATTAAGGAAATTGTGGGTGACCTGGGCCCAAAACATATGCTCCTCACCAGCACGGTTCTAGGGGCAGGCTGGCAGAATATGGCGGCGCATGAGGAGGTGCAACACAAAGCTCGGTACAGTAGCATCATACTTCCCAACAAGTACTCACGGCGTCGCAGCAGATGCACCGCACTCAAGGCCTTGCCTTGTTCGTCTCACGTGAGGCCTATCCACCTATCTGATTTCCGCTAAGAAACAGCTCACCTTCCTATATTCCCACACCGTTGGAAACCCAGCTGCAGGAGCGGCAAAAGGCAGTCCCATCAGACCGCCTGCCCATCTCTCGCACGCTCTCAGCGGATGGTCTAAAGCGCGTTTGCGCTTTGCATTTCTCCAAGGCGATGGCCTAAAAGTTGGTAGAACTTGCGCGCCCCCGAAACCCAAAGGACTGTCCGTTCGGCATGGCCCCTCTCATTTGTTTGTCCAAGGTTCCGCGAAGCTTAGTCATCAGCAATTCCAGGTTTCTTGCTGATCGCCAGCGCTTATTCTAGCACACGCCGCGGCCAAACTACATTGCTGCTGTGGCTCATGTCTGGCGATTCCCCCCTGAAATTCAAGGCATTCAAGCAGCGGGGCACAATTCATAGCAGCGTGCCCAGTGTCCCAAGTGATGGCGCCGAAGCCGAAATCCATCGAGACCCGCCAAGCTTCGCCAGGTTACTGATTTGCTGGGAGATTTTGAGCCAGCGGCGCCCAACACGACACAGGCCGAGTTGGGGGGATTGAATGCACTAAATGCGTTTGTGGCTATTTGGGAACGGACCTTTGGTCTTTGACAAATGGTTGGTTGAAACAGGTCGGGTCTTCCAACAAGATGATAACTTTTTGCAGAGCCGTTGTTAAAGCAACCAAGATGGCTGGCCTCTGTTGTGTCCTTTAGCGCTGAACTTTGCAACGTTGTGAAGTCGAACCTCAAGTTTGGGCCGGGGCCCAAGGCTCTTCCCATGTCGGTTGCTTTTGGTTATGTGAGTGTGTTTCCCAAATCGACCCGCAATGGCTAGTGTCCCTTGAAAGCGCCAGTATGGATCAGTATCTGCACACATGATGCGCATCGCTTAGTTGAGGGAAGGCACCCATCATTTCTTGTGACAAAGTCCTTATATGTGCTTTCCGGCACGTTCATGTGACCTCAGCAAAGGCTGAGATTGCTGCTGTCTTTCTCAACTTATGGACCTTTGGATCGCTTCCAAACCACAAGATGGGAACTGACTAACATGAGGCACACATGTGTTGCTTTCAAATGTACCATAATTCAATCATGCGGCGCTCGACCGATTCCGGTGGGGTTCTTCGCCGTCAATGACGGGCTTGGAAGGCCTAGCCCTTTCCAGCCAAATTGTTTGACAGGCGTGAACCATTTGTTGCCCTCTCAAAACGCCTCGCTGTTTTCAGCGTATGATGATGTCGACGCTTGACCAACAATTGCATTTGTCTGGGAAAACGGGTTTCTCAAAACGTCCCAAGAAAATGTGCGCCCGAAGGTTCCTGATTTTGGGATAGCTCGTGTCAAGGGAAGGAACACATTCAACCAACGACATTAGAGAGAGATAAGCCAATGGACATCTCCAGATCATGTAGATTCCCAAAAGATGCAAATAGTCACTGAGTCACCCGACCCACACTGCAAAAAGTCATAGTGTGCAGGTCCAAAAAGGCCAAGAGGGTGGCACCCGCAAGCAACTTCCCGCGACATTTGCCATGGGGAAACCTGCGGTTTCGACATGGCCATCCCGTGATCCTTTGCTCTCAAACCAGCCAGTTGAACAACGGACATCTTGTACGGACAACCCTTCGATGTACACGAACCTCAGACGCCAAGCAGATATGCTCAATTCTAGTAGCTCTTTGGTCCCGTGAACGGCAAGCAATAAGTTCTCCCCCTGCCCTATTTGTTTCTGCCTCTTGCCTTAGACAACCAGTCCTTTTTCGTTCCCCCTGAGGAAACCCAAAGCCCAACTAGGTGTGTCTCATGTGTTTCTAACCAAAGAAAGCCGAAAACGGCCCTGGCTCCGCGTCGCGGGCTTTCGAGCGCTGCGAGGCTTCGCAAAACATGCTGGACCTTTGAGTTGAGGCCCAAGCCTTGGTGCGAGTCGGTGCCGGTGTCCGCTGTTGGGCGCTTGACTGAAGGTCTGACTCCGGATCCAAGTGAGGGGACCCCCCCTAAGAAGCGCTTGCTCAAGAGGTCCTATGAAAAGAATGATCGAGGCTAGTACGTTGACATGAATCAAATTGAAAGGATCGTAGGGCGATGTTGCAGGTGGTCTCCCAACACTTGATTGTGCAGAGCCTGCAAGAGAAACACAACCTTTGCAGTCAGACTAAGGCTGTTTGTTGTTCCTCCTGCTTGGCCTATGTCGATGGGACGCATTTCAACATAAAATGAAAACACGATACATTATGCTTGAGGAACGATCAGATATAGTATCTTGTCAAATCACAGTATCAGTATAATGTGTAGTAAGTTAAAAGATATTGTAGAAATGCAAGTAATAGTTAAAACAGTATGGCGTAATATGTATATATATATATATATATAATTGTATTATATATATATATGTTGATATGTTGTAATTCTATGAAGATTGTTATTTAAATAATATATGTTTATTTGGTAAAGCATGATTAATGAGGTATAATGATTTATGTATTATTAATTCGATATAAAATTGAAATTATTATATATTATATGATATAATTATATGTTATTATTATTATTATATTATTATTATATTATTATGTATTATTATTATTGATATTATTATTATATAAATTGGTATGATGTTGAATATATATTTTATATATATTAAAGAATTATTCTAATGATATGTTGGTTGAATTGCTGTGCTTGTGGTAAATATTTGTTTTGATGTGGTTTGTGATAAAAGTGTTTAGAAGGTTTTATTTGTTTGGTGAATTGTTGATTGGTTTTTGAAGTGTGTGTGGTTTGGTTTTTATATTTTTAGATAGGAATATTATTGTAAATAATAGAACATATTTGTATAAAATGTGTATTTTTAATTATAGTTAGAAATTTATGATTTTTTTGAAAATTAAATAAATCAGTTGATTTATGTGGTTTTAACATAATTATAATAAAATGTTGGTATTAATTGGGAATTGATTTAAGCCGAATCTTCTCCGGGTATATGGTGTTTGTGTGTAATGATGATATGTTTGTTTTGTTTTTTTTGTGTGTGTGTATGTATGTTTGTTATGAATGTGTTTTGGTTTTATTTTTTAATTTTCTGTGTTTATATTTGATTTAGAGATTTATATTTTTGTTTGGTTGTATTTTTGTATTTATTTATAGTTTTAAATTTACATGTAGATTATTGATTTATTTTGTTTGTGTATGTGTTTATTTGTGTTGTGTTTTGTTGGTTTTGTTTGTATTTGTTGTGGTGGTTGATTGTGTGTGTGAGGTTGTGTTGTTTGATTGATTTCTTGATATATTTGGTGTTTTGATATGAATTTCAATTTGTATATATTTGTTTACAGAAATTTCTTGGGTTATAATAGGTATAGATTATATATATATTTGCATTAGATTTCTTATATATTATTATATTTATATTTATTATATTATGATTCGTATTTAGTATCAAATTTAAATGGTTTAAATTTTGTTTATCTAAATTTTATTATGTTTGTTTAAATTATTTAAATTTAATTAATTAAAATTGATTTTAAATTAATTTAGGATAATTTAAGAGACCGATATATATATATATATATTTGGTATGTGAAAGGTATTGGGAGACGATGATTGTATCTCATTTAAATAATAAATTTAACTTTCATTTACAATGATTTTAGAATTATGATATGAAATTAGTTTAAAATTATTTAATATAAAAAAAAAAAAAAAAAAAAAAAAAATATAATATATTGTCTGAATTAATTCTTTAATCTATTCGAAATTAATTTTTCCTTAAGTAAATCTAAAACCCAATTCTAATCCTTAATTAATCCTAAGTTTTCTAAATTTCACCAAAGTTAATGCTATAGGGAATAAATACGATATTTGGAATTTAATTATATTAATAGAAAATTAAATAATGATATTAATAATATATATTTGTTTAATTATAATTGTCCCATGATTTATTTGGGTAGAGGTTCCAAAATGATTAATTATTAGAAAAAAGATAGAATTCATTATATGTATTTAATATTTATTATATATATTTATGTTTATTTATATATGTTTAAATTGGTTTAATTATTCGATTTATTGATTATTTAATTAATATATTTATGATTTAATATCGTGGAGGAGTAATATAAAATATAAATAGAACAATAATTTTCAGTCCAATATCCTAGAATATAATCGGTAATCTTGTCCAAATCTTCAAATCGAAAAATTCCAAGATATTAACGATAAATTAGAATCGAAAGATAGAATCTCGCCCATCCATAATCTTAGGCACGGAGATTACATCACCCCGTTCCAAAATCGAAGCCCAAACTAAACACAAAAAATATACATATAAAAAATCGATCCAAAACACACAAATTCTTCGTAACTCAAGGAATAATAACTCTACCAAAAACAAGCTAAATAAAGTAATCGTAAAAAACACCGCCATATATCAGAAACGATCGAAACAATCATCGAGAACAATAAACAAATACAAATAAGGTATCCAGTCCATTTGCTTAGATCACACCTCCAAAATCATTTGTATGTGCGGCCAAATGCCGCTTCCCGATACCTGTCATATGCCAAATGATAATTTCTCTATAATTCAAATAAGATTCGGCTTTTAAATTGGATCCATATAATCCCAAGACATATATATGTTTTTCATCCACCATACGAGCAAGGGATCGAAGAAACCATTTTCCTTCGGCATCCATCTATCCCAAATCAGAGGTTTGTAACCAATATCTTAAGTTACATATCGATTCTATAAATTATTATTCCCAAAATATAAGATTCGAAAGGAAATGTAATCGCTACATCCAGGGCCAACCGCGGAAAACGACACTAAGAAAGTTGAAGGATTTAAAGGATTCACCAAAATATCCGCAGGTTTTATCTGGGGGTTAGTGGATAAAAGGTTCATAGGCTCCAACGAAGCGGCAGCCTAAAGAAAATATAGTGTTCCTCAAAATAGTGTATGTGGCCTGTTTCTGTCCATATCCCATTCCATGTAAAATATGGTCTTTGAAAACATCTAAATTATATTGGCAAAAAACACAAATCAATTTATCCCCGCCATATCCGTTTGCTCCATCAAGAAGCAAGTCATCTTAGAGTAAATAGTTGCTTGTCCTGAAGTCCAAGAGCGCTACGAAACAAGAAACGCATAACATGCTGTAGGGCCTAAGCTTCATATCCAACATTAATTTGCACGGGAAAAAACGGATAATATGGTTTTCAAATATTTGTGTGTTAACATCATGTAAGTAAGATCCGTCAAATGATCATTCCACGAACTAATCCCCCTTATTTAATAAGCAATTTGGCTTGCGATCCTTGGAATCGAGTCAAAATATATTTACTCTATAAAACGAAACCGTGAAACTTGCTCGTCGCACTTGCGCGCGTTTTCCCGGACCGCTTTTCCGAAAAATCCCGGATATTTCGGAAAATTGGTCCGGACTGCCCCGGGAAGATGTAACCGCTTCATAATTCCTACGGATCGCTCGCCCAAATCTGTCCGGGCTACCCCGGGCATATGTGCGGAAGACATATTGGCTTCATTTTTTGTGGGGACCAATTTCCCGAAATATTCTAGATATTTCGGGAAAACGGTCCGGGAATCGCAGCCATCCACCATTTTCTTAAAGTATTCCGAATATTTTAAGAACCATTTTCGAGAAATATTCCAAATATTTCGGGAAATGCTATCGTCGAAATATCCGGAATATTTCGGAAAAATGGTCTGGAGTGCGACTATCGAAATATCCGGGATATTTCGGAAAAATGGTCCGGACTTTGAACGAAGTCGTTGTGTCTTCTAGATCAAGAGTCTAGGCATATATCTCCCCATCCGTAGCCGTTGAACGAAGCCGTTGTGTCTTCCAGATAAAGAGTCGGGGCATTCCGAGAGTTTGGCGATGCGAGAAGCTGTGAGCCGCGGCCGATTGTTGCGACCAGTGGCGTTTTTCCCTATGCTTTGAGCAAAATGAGTTCTGCTTTGCTTGCACCCAGGATGTTTTCTGGTCGGTCGCGTTTTCGCTTGCGCTTGCAACAACTGCGTGCGTGGATGGATCTTTTGAGGCCAACAGCCCGCGGATCCGCTCTCACCTTGCTCAGGCGACCGGCTTTCACTGACTCTTTGGCGTGACCTTATCGCGACCAGCCCGGCCCTCAGTGCGTCTCGCGACCTGTGTTTGGAGAACGGCAGCATGCTTTTCGCATGCGACAAGTATACATTTTTTGATATGTATGAGATGATAAAATATGTTGGCGCCTGAGTTGCAAAAAATGTCTTGCCGGCGTGGGCTCTATAAGATCTTGGCCCCTGAGAGCTTGGCCCTTTTTTGGCACCCGCCTCAACTTACCCCTAATTGCTGGTTTGGAGTGGTGGTTTGGGGATTGAACCCCTGGATCATGTTGAAGTTGAATGGCAAACCACCCCCTAACCTCCAAAACACCGATCCAAACTACCAATCCAAACCGGGCCGGTAGCAACCCGGGGTGCCCAGTCCTGCAACCACCTCCTGGCCGCGGGAGCGGCGGGGCAGCGCCGAGACAAGCGCGTGACAAACCGTTTCCCACTGGCTCGCTCCACTGGGCGAGGGCGCCAGGGGACAAGCGGCCAGCGGCCGCGTGCGCGCAGCCGAGAGCTCGCACGCGCGTTCTTGCAGCCCGTCTGCATCACGGCTCTCGGGCTCGGAGTCGGACGCGTGCACGTGCGCAGGCGAAGCCTGTGGCATGTCGACATCAGAATCCGGCGCGCTGCGCGCCGGAGGTGTGTCTCTTTTTGTCTCTGTCTCTCTGCCGGTGTCTTTCTCTGTCTCTCTTTGTCTGTTGGTCTCTCTGTCTCTGGTATCTGTTTCTTTGTCTGTCTGTCTGTCTGTCTGTCTGCGCTGTGTCTGTCTGTGTCTGTG